CATCGTATAATAATGTACAAAATTTCTAAATCGGCTGTAGTATTGCTCGTCTTGTAGAACATGATTGAAAAATAAATAATTCCGGTACTAAACCACATTCCCGATAACACTTCGTTCTGATTGCTTAAAAAAATCCATACAAACAGATATCATTTATATTAAGAATTGTATTTTAAGATTTCAAAATAAAATTTACACATTATGAACACGCAATTAAGTCAGTTAACTTCCCTATATTTTTTTAATATTTGCTTATGGGTTCATTCACACTGATATTGTAGAATATTTTGCTAATGTGAACTCTTTATTTCATGATTCACTAGTTTTTATAAACGACTCAGTCTCCAAAACGGTAACATAAAATTTTCAGAGGTTTTCTAACATTTTAAGTTGTTATCTATCAAAATCTCGATTTACAGACAAATCTGCTACATCATCTATATTTAAAAGATTCCATTTGACACACCTACAATAGTTGTATCAATGATACATGGACTAAAAATATATAAGTTTAAATATGTATTATAGCTTCGTTACCATACAAGGAAATAGTATTTATCTCTTAACACAATGTAAAACTTAAATCTCTACGTGGGTGGTCAAATCATAATTCGACTAATGACTAATCTGTTATCTTTTACTTAATGTAGAAGTGAAATCAAAGAATCAACTACCGTTTTAAAAAGCTTAAACTGTTTATAAGTAGTTTAATATAGATATATTATGAATTTAACTATTCACTTTAAGAAATTATTGGCTGGCAGCCGATACAGATACGTAATGCATGTTTGTATTCTCGTCAACATACAGTGAAATTGTAAAATTTCGAATGCGACATTAAAATGGAGGCTTTCGCAAACCTCTACAATTCTATGCACGTGTTATTGACAAACTTTTACTTTTGGCTATATTTTTCTCTAAATAATGTGACTTCGATTACGAAACGAATTTATTTCTTATTCATTTAAGTATTTGGATGCAAAGTAACGTAAGATAACATTTGGATGCAACACAATGATGCAATAGTATGTAAACTGATTCTAGAACTTTATACAGCACGAGTATGCCAAACTAAATTCAATATTTTCTTAAATTTTTAAAATGATTTACTTGTTATAACAACACTACTGCCAGTATATAAATTATATACGAGGTAAAAATGTTATAAAAAAAATACTCAAAAGCGGAGTCCCGCAAATATCATTAAATGTTCAAATAACTAAATAAATACCAAAAGAAAAGGAAAATTAATTTTATTTGGAAAATCCAGCACGTGCTGGTTATTACTCCATAAACAGACCAAGTAGATAAACAAATATGTGCGTCGAATGTTAGGTAGGAAAGTGCGAATATTCGCGGAACTGTGATTCGCCTTGTCACGGCCTAGAAAGCTATGAATTAAATGCTTCTTTTAAGATTTACTATACATAAGGACGAGGTATGATTGTTAATATATCTTTATGTGACAGTACTAACGAATGACGAGTTATTTATATTCAAAACCACAACTTATAAGTAACACTGTATTTATTACATCGAATTATTATTAATGAAAATAAAATGTATATGTACCTATATATGTAGATTTGAATGAAGACTTAGTAATATTTTTCAAATTATGTGTGAAAATAATTTGAAGTATGTAAAGAAAATGAATCGAAGTTATAAAGAAGTGTTGTAAATACGTATTCCTATGACGTGAAAAATGTAGGATCTTCTTAATAAATAAGCGGCTATGTTATTCTGTATTCAGGTGAAAACAATCTACTTTATAAATTTTTCAATTTCGTTTAAATATATATCTACAATTTCATATATATAAAACCTTTAAACTTTAACGTAAAAATATCAAAAGTGCATTGTCACTAGGTTTAAGAAAAAAGTGTGTTGAATAATAATGATAATATTAAAGTTTATTTGATGAATTTAACATTTTTTTTTTGTTTGAATACATTACTTCTGTATTTTATGAATACGTTAGAGGTGGGAATCGATCAAAGAGCGACCCGCAAGTGAAAGCATAGGTATACACGAATTTAAACTGTATTACAAAAACCATGGAGTAGTCATATATTGATATATTTTTTATTTTAAACAATTAACGGTACCACAAAAAGTTTACGTATACATTATAAATTGTAATCTAATTGTGTTTCTTTGTTAGCAATTGCTGTTTTGTTTATTATTTTTGGTTGATGACCTTATATATAAATATATAATAAATAACATATATGTTAATCGAATCTCTTCTTAATGATAAAAAAATATATTTCCAAACCACTCCACACAACCGCTGTCCTCTCGCGGAAGTAACAATTATAAAGCGTGTACACGGTGGCATTGAAACAATCACACCATCGGGAGCGTTCTCATACTCTTCCCAACATTTTAATCTCATGCGATTAATTATTTTATATTGAAACAGCATAAGAGTTATTATAGTGTAAATGGTTTTAATGTCTTCTGATGATTCGTCAGACAAATCTGACCTTGATACCGAGTTGACTCTCAACGTTTATTGTGCAGTTTCATTCACTTTTTACTAGAAATTGGCCCACAACTCACTATACTAATAAATACGTTTAAATACGATGTATAGAAAATAGAAAGTCATATTTCAGATAAATGATTATTATTCTTAGATATAATTTGAAATATTAACGTCTATCTGTAAATATATGTATTCATTGATATAAGAGATGTAAAAGTTATGAATTTAAAATAAATTAATTAATATTTCCTTAATATATAAATTATAGCATTTCGATAAATTAGAAAGATTTAAAAAACATTCTTTATAATATTAAAGTAATGCGTTTTAAATTTGTTACTTTATTGATATACGTTTATTACTATGTGAGATATGTTCGTGACTCAACTCATTAAACAAACGCATGTGATCCGGACACAATATCTATATTTTATAGTCCGTTAAAATTAAAGTACACTAATGGCCTAAATAGTGTATTACAATATTTTCTATAAGCAATAAATTAAATATGAAATCCCTAAACTAAATAAATTATACGACTCAGTGATTTTTATTTTTTTGAATGTAGATACATTTAAAAAATTATAAATGTAAATTTTTTTATGTTCTGGAATGTAGTTAACGTTGAGTTTAAAATTTGGATCCTGCAATGACTGACTTCACCCCTTAATTAATTATATTTTTTTATATTATTTATTCATCTATAGATGTATACTCTTTCTTCGATATTAATTATTACTGAAATATTCTTCAGCATAATTTCCCGAAATACATTTACGAAAGGAATATTGTTCTTCTTTTATAAATATTCAGCATCGTGCGATGCAATATGTGGTCGCAAAATTTGTTTATGCTAAGGCTTCATACGCACTGGAGTCGTGGAATATTTTTCAAATGTCAAAATGATTACATATTTGCAATAAATAGTTTATCTATTTAAAATACAATGTCATAATATGTCAAATATATTTACATTGCAATGTCATCAAAGACAAAGAAAATTTAGAAAAATTTATTTTCATGTTAGCACTGAAAACCGGACAGATTTTATTTATGCATTGGATTTTAACAAGTTTAATCACACTGTCGTGTTCTGTTAAGACTTATCAAGTTAACCGTATTAACGAATCTACATACCTCGTTAACAGTTTACCGGAAGATAACGATAAACGCCTGAAGAGCTCGAATGATAACATTGTCGTTATGAATAACGATAAAAGGTCTTTTGATCCATACTCGGAAATAGTGAATGGTGGTCCTAAGAACCTTTACAAGCCAAAACTATCGGCGTCGTATATAAATAAGGCGAGAGAAAACTATTTTCAAAAATTATTTGGGACCACGACATCGAGCTCGTTCAAAACGTCTCCTTATTATTATAAGACACCGAATTTTGTATTTCAGTTACAACAAAACATATATACGGCAAGAAAACTTGCCTCTAGTTTAATGTTGCTAGTTAAAAATGGCATGGTGAGGGAAAATAGAAGATTAGATTTTACGAAGCAAAAACGACTACGCAGAGAATTGATTAAGAAACGAAGAAGGTATTTCGATAAAATAAGTCCAAAGAAACAAACAATAACAAGGTTTTATATACCAATAAATAAAGGTCTTGCATAGATCAATTCGTTCATTTATGAATAGTGACCTGAGAAAACCTGACAAAAGAAAATATATTTATATATATATTTATGATTAGGCTATCATATTTATTTTTGCCAACAATTCACATTTTAGATTGGACATTCATACATGGTGGAACATTTTTTATTTTCCGAATTAAATTAGGATGATGGGGCAGGAAAAAGAATAACCGACATATTCACTATCTCTAATTATTCTCTATTCTCTGTACTCAGAAAAAGTATTTCCAAGAAGTGTTGTCTTTGTCGTCGGATAACCGACCGACATCAATGCATTAAAAGCAGCATAAATTAGCGTCGTTATTGATAGCACTAAGATGTAATATATAAATTGTAAATGTTAAAAAAACGACTAAACAATAAACAAACTCTACAAATTTCGTAAAATAATAGCTACAAATAAGAGAACCACAAATTATATTATATGAAGCCTATCAATGTCACAAGAAATATCCTACAATCCGTGTAGTTTAAATCTTAATTCTAACAAATGTGGAGAATGTGGAAGGTTCCGATTCTGAAAGATTCGTACTGAATGTTTCCTCTAGGAAATAACTTGTCATATACTTCAATAACAAGGCTATAAGCTTTATGGTGTTATGATTAATAAAACCATATTCTCATTAAAAACTCCAAATTGTTTTATGACTATGATATTGTAATAGCCGTAATAGACATTACATTCATCCACTTGATTACCATCTAAGAATTATGATAAAGATGAATTATGGATTAAACAATTAGCCTCATTATGAATTAAATAAAAGAATTGATCAATCTCAATAACATTTAATAATACTGATAAATAGAACCTTCATACAAGCTTGAAACGTTATAATAGTAAAATATCTGATTTCTTTGTATCAGGGACAAGTGTAAGAGGTTGTGCAAAAACGAGTGTTTGGATTAAATAGTGATGTAGAGGGACAAGTGTACTGGTACTCTACATAGGTTCCATTTGATGCTAACACACACAAGTAATACAATTTACATGTTGTATCTGCGGGATCGCTGAATCTTCCTGCCGAAGAACATGAGAACGGTGTTGTACTTGTACAGTTGTAGTCAGTTTCACACAAGGTCGTATTAGGATTATAAAATGTGCCATTTGGACAGCTCAATGTTTCCCCTTCTACGAAAGTGCCGTTTTCATTTAGGCATAGTATATAACTCGAACAATTCGTTGAGTTCGGATCAGCGATGAAGCCTTCAGAGGTGCACACAGATGTCGTGGTATTAGTATTTGTCACGTTGCATACGTAGTTCGTGGTGCATTGTTGTATGTTTGGATTGAACAGCGATGTCGTAGGACACACGTAGTCGTAACCTATAAAAGTAGTACCGGAACGTACACAGAGTGTGTAATTCTTGCAAGTTGTGTCGGTGGGTTCGGCAAAACGACCGATGGTTGTACAGTTCACCGCCGCATCTGTTGAATATGCGAAGCAAATCACCTGCCAACAACAAATTTGTTATTAATAGATAAAATGTTATTCATTAATTATTTTCAACTTTTGATTGATTTACAGAAAAAGTTATATCTCATTTTTTATATCTATTGTATAATTAAAGAGCATGTAATACATAAGATTTGTTATATAATTTAAGAAAAAAAAAAGGTAGGTATATGATTTTTTATACACATATATCGCACATACCTTAGTTGGATTCTAAAAAAAGAGGTAACGTTGTAACAAAAAAAAGCAGTCAAACCACTCTCGAGTATTAGAGCAGTCCAAAGATTTATGTGCTTTAATATAGCTGTGTTTGAACAGTTTTGTTAAGAAAAAAGTAGTTTGTCATCTACGACCTCTTAACATGCTTATCAGTCGTTCTTAAAACTTACAAATATATAAGTCCTTACCGGAATTCTCTATTTTTTTATTATATTCATTATCAACCTATCAGAGCCCACTACTGAGAAGATTTGAGCATTAATCACCACGCTTGCTCAAGACGGGTTGGTGATTTTAAACTTATAATTTTATAAGTCCAGGTGTAATCACGATGTTTTCCTTCTGCGTCTGTCAGTGGTATCTAAATACTCTTTGAAAGTACATATGACTCGAAGAAATCACATTGGTACTTTCCGGGTATCGAACCTACACCCTCAGCAATGAAAGGCGGGCTTTTAACCACTAGGCTACCACAGACCATTTAACTATAATTTATTTTGTTTTTTTTTTTAACTATAATTTAATTCCCAGAGGATATTTGTGCTTCGGCGTCGGGACCACACATATTTTTATATTCGGGAATTTAAAAACGTGTTGTGCTAATAGAGCTCTCGGTTCCTTGGGAAACCCATATCCCCAAAGACCATGCCATCAAGGTCAACAAGTACATATTACGAGCTCACTATACCGAACTCACTTGGAATAGGTTCGTTGTAAACTTCTACGCGGTAGTAGTTGGAGCGAGAGATATAACATCCAAATCTCTCTACAACCTACTAACAGATCTGGGCCTGTCCAGAACTAACTTCAGTTCATTCTTGGAATGTGTGTCGAAGGCACCCTATATCGAACCCCAGTAGGTTCGTTTCAAACTTGATTAGGTAGAGAGAGGAGCTTGGACGTTGGAAATAAATCTACACCTGGGTCTAGGCACTATCGAAGCTCCTCTCCCTGCAACGCTGTGGACCCGTTACTTCCAGGATGGGCCTTGTAATGTTGTCCTTATTAAAAGGACTAAAAGTAAAACGTAAATAAATTAATTTTAAACAGTTAAAAATAATTTAAAACCTTGTAAACCATGAAATAATTTCAATACATACATACATATTGTATTGACTGCATATATTTAATTGAATACGGAATATTATTAAAGACAAACTATGACCAAGACTGAGGGATTAAGTTTAGGTTAATAATTTAACTCAGAAGGATTTTTTTTTGCCAGAACAAAATGAAATAATATATCAATATGTAGCTACTCACAAGAAATACAGCGATGCAAATCTTGGCCGCCATATCGGATTCTTCATAAAGTTATGGTACGGTCCACTCTTTTATATAGCTTTAATTTATACAACCAACAATCGAAAGATTAGGTATAATCTAACCACTTCGCTTTTAATTACTCATAAACGCGTTACCTATAAGTCTTCTAGTTATATTGCATATTTCAAAGATATAGCGGAAGACAACGACAAATGAAAAAATATTTTTATATCTGGTATGACATCACATGAAAAAGGCAGTTTGTAAAGTTGGTTTCCTCTTTTTGATGACACACATATATTGCAGACATACCTTACCATCAATTACTTAAATTGCTGAATATATTTTATAATATTTGTGATTGTATTTTATCTTCATTCATTAGCAAAAAGGTTTACAAATAACAAAAATAATAATTACATCAAATAATATATATTATGGAATAAAGTAAGAAATGATCAATGAACAAACCACTATTCGATATTTTAACCCATCCAGTGATTTAGATGTATATTTTATATAAGACTAGGGTGTTTCCCCCGGGATTTTCGGGATTTCCGGGATGTAAAGTAGCTTATATGTTATTCCTGGACGTCAGCTTCCTGTATACAAAATTTTATCAAAATCTGTTCAGCCGTTTGAGCGTGAAGAAGTAACAAACATACACACACAAAAACATTCGCAATTATAATATTAGTAGGATTGCACATATAAATATTTGGTCATTCTTTTTTATTTTTTCTTATCTTTTTACATTCACTATAGTTACGAAAACCTAAAGTATTAATTACAGGAAAAAGCAACAGGAAAAGAAATAATTTCAGAAAGTACAAACTTAAAAAGACATATAAACGTACAATTCTAAGTAGGTACATATTTATTCGTTTTGGGTTAAAAACAACTTTTGGCCTCGCAAATTAAAATACTTTTCATATTCTTTCCTATAATTAGTTTATTTAAAACTTCTTATGCTTAAGTCAGTGCATGTGCATTAAGCTTTTTAAAAATTATTAAAATTATTGTTTCCTATATACCAACAATGAATTCTTATAATATTACAGTTATATCGTAGAATGCGTCTAGTCAAACATACATTTATCTAAATTCTATTGTAAACATAAGCTGTACGAGTGATGTCTCATCATTCTCATACAATAAACAATTTCTTTAAAGTAATAACAAATACTCTCCTTTCTCTTAAAACCAGAGAGTATTAGGTAAGAACAAAAAATGTGGCGACTTTTGGGAAGAGATATATGTATGTTTTCGTTACCATCGATACAGACCGATATAAAAAATCTGGTATCAATATTATTTAATTTTCGATTAACTTGTAACCACTTTTTATGTAGTGCCAACATGAGTGCACTCAAGAGCTACTCACCTATATATTAAGTTTTTTCAGTTATGTTTATGTAACAAAGGTTTAATGGGCACGCAATGGATTGAAAATAATGGTTACTTAACCTGCATCAAAATTTGAACGTTAAGGAATCTCAGAAAAAATGTTTTTGAACTCATGTGAATATTTAATTTAATTTTGACATCAAATCTTCCAGTCATATTATACTCCAATTACTACTCATTACATTAAAACATATATATATCTCCTTTGGGATTAGATTATAAATCTTTTAAGTTTTGTATTGAGGCATGCTTTGTTCTTTTGTTTATAATATAATAAAAATGTTAACTCATATTGTGGTTGAAAACAAACTAGGTTAATTTTGATGTTCCTCGAGAGTAAATAATGTGTTTTTTGTTTGAAATTATTAATAAACTTGTTTTAATAAACAATGGAAATATGAATCGTTTGCAAGAATGGCATACAAACGTTAAAGAGAGGAAAAGTCATAACAAAAACCAGAAGAATTAGGAGCTGAAAATCTTTCAGTCTTTAATATGATATCAATATAAATAAATATATGTACATCACTAGTGATTTAAACATTGCAGAGAAATCTTTCAGTCTCCGCTTTTATCGCATGGGTGACGAACAAAATTCAAATAAACCTTTAGAGACACTAAATATTAATATGAAATGGCTCATACTTTTGGTATTTGTAAGTATTAATTAACTGTTATTCTTTTGTAACAAAATTTTGATCTGCGTTTATTTCATAAAATTCATGGAAAAAGATCCTTTTATGTAAATTGTTACTGCATTTCATATAATGTACGGTACGGTAAGCTGTAAGGTATTTCATACCTAGTTAAATTTTGCCATTTTATACAAAGACAAAATAAATGAAGACTTGTTTTAAATTTAATATAAGACTCAAGTTGGTTTAAATTTTTCCTTTTTAGATTACATTCTTCGGCACAAGCAAGGAATCAAAATGTGTAACTCGAGGTAGATTTCCCGACAATTCCCAACCTAACTGCCGAGGATACACCATGTGCCTGAGCAGCACTACAAGTTATGATCTATTGTGTCCAGAAAATTCAACTTACAGCCATTTGGATAAGCAATGCACTAACGTGACAACATATCGGTGTCTTCTTGATTACAACTGCACTAAAGAAGGCAACTACTCTCTTTCACATGGAAACTGTACAAGCTACATTGCCTGTGTTAATGATTTAAATAATATAACAAACGCGAGACTGGTCGCTTGTCCTGCTAACGAAGTTTTCAGCAAAAAAAATAATTCATGTGTGAATGAAACTTTATTTGAATGCGACCCAATAACAGAGTCTCCTAAAATATTTCAAATAGACAAAATAGAGATCAAAACTGGGAACTTTTCTTTCCATAATGGGGGTCATGTACATACAACAACGTTGATAAAACTAATATTTATTTACGTATTTGCTTCAATATTTTCATAATATATGCTTTACGAAAGAAATGGTGTTTTTCTTGCAATTTCCTGTAATTGTTAAAAATTGTGTGATTTTACAATGAGTCCAAGGCTGAATTCTCAACGATAAAATGGATTTACATGCTTTATTGCTCTTGTGTTTTATGTATTTATGCTATCTCTAAGACGAACGGAGGTTAAATTTCCTTATATGTATCATAATATAAAAATATGAATCATCATTGAATAACTAGAGTCTTTCATATACCTTCCTGATAGAAAATTGAATAAAACTTAAAACTACTAAGCTTTATTTTATAGTGAACACGAGATTACTTGAATTTTCAATTATTACATATTTAATTAAGATATATATATTGTGTAAAAAATCGATTAACCAGGTTAAAAAAATGAACATTACTGGCATTATGTTACATGTTGCAACTCTGCTCATCATTAAAAAAAGAGGGCTCAAAAAGAGTCGTACAAACATTTACAAAAAAAAAAGAGTAACTGTCTATGCAACGAAAAAGAGCGCGGGAATTGAAACGATGACGCGGGCTTTTTGAAAATTTTAATTATTTTAAATAGTTTTATACTATAATTTGCATATTTTTGTTTAGTTTATTGTAAAGAAGTAAAACTTAGTCTGTTTATAAGTGTTTATGTGGAGAGATGGTGAAAAAACGTAAAAAGAAGGATTCGGGTTAGTTCTTGCCTTTCAGCACAAGCAGCGATTCCGATTGCGAGAATTCGCCAGTATTGCAGGATGCAAATGCCTTCGCTCCTTTTAGGGTCGCTGATTATTGTCGGCGATACCCTGAAGATGCGGAAGCCAAGTCTGAATTCATAGTATTTGTCGAAAGTACTAATGATGTCCCACTCGGTAATAGGGACATGATGTCGCTTAGTACTACTTTTATACGCTCTGTGAAAGGTATACAATATTTAAAAAAATAAATAAATATAAGGTCGGTGTTGTTTTCCAACGTGCGAATTTGGCAAATGCCTTTTTAGAAAATACTACATATCTAAAGGAACAACGACTTCAAACAAAGCTTCAATACCAGCAGGGGCCACCGAACTACGGGAGTTATCTCTTCGGTTCCCACTCATCTATCCAATCACAAAATATATAAAGCAATATCAACAACAAAAAAAGTCATTTCTGTCCGACGCATAATGCGTAAAGTAAAAGGAGAAAATAACACCTTCACACTGCAACCTACTCAGAGCGTAGTAATAACTTTTGCGTCTGCTACGTCACTGCCGGACTATGTTCACATTAAGATGTGGCGTCTGCCTGTCTCCACATATGTCCCACCTATAAGACAGTGTTTTAAATGTTTACGCTATGATCATCTGGCTAAGTTTTGTAAAAATTCACCGCGATGCTCCATATGCACAGAGGAGCATTCTTTCAAAGAATGCAAGGTTAACATTGAAAAAGCTAAGTGCATTAATTGTAATGGCAATCACATTTCCATCTCTAGCCCGTGCCCTATAAGACAAAAAAAATCGCAAACAGTAAACCCAAGTCATATACTGACACGTTAAGAGATTCCTTAAATTTTCCCTCCCTTAATAAACAATTTAATACCCAAGAAGTAATCCAAGCAATACTATCAAATTCCGAAGCAATGACTCTATTAACAGAATCTATAGTAAAAGTTATAACTTTAAATAAAACTCAAAATATAAGTATTAGTTCACAATTTATTAGCTCAGCTATTAAAGAAACCATCCAGGACAAAAATAGCAAATCGTCACATTCAACCACCAAATCTGAAATATTGTACAGTGGAACGCTCAAAGTCTGTTAAGTAACAAACTTGAGTTTCAAAATTTTCTGTACCAAAATAATATAAATGTAGCTTTTATTTCAGAAACTTGGCTCAAGCCTAGCGTTCAATTTAATTTACGTGGTTATACCATTATTAGGAATGACTGCGGTAATGATCATAATGGCGTAGCAATATTAATTAAAAATGGTATACATTTCTCTAAACTAGATACTTCTTATGATGATTCGTTACAAAATGTAGTTATTGTAATTAAACTGAAACATAAATGCATTTCTTTCGTTAGTTTTTCCAGTCCTGGTAAGTTTTCCATCTTTGAAAAGACGAAGTTCGATTGTTTATTGTACAGTATTCCAAAACCGTTGATAATTGCAGGCGATTTTAATGCCCATCATACTTTTTGGGGTTGTAGTCGCATGGATTCTTGGGGCAGAGCTATTATGGATTCCATGGATGACCATGACTTAATACTTTTAAATAATGGTCAACCAACAACTATGGAAAACAAAAATGGAAACCAAACAGTGTAGATTTAACTATGGTGTCTTCTTCTTTATTTCTTTCTTGTGACTGGCAAGTTCATCACGGATCTTTAGGCAGTTATCATCTGCCAACTATCACAAAATTTAATCTCGTAAGAGATCAACATGAGCCCTCTATTTCCTTGAACAACATTCCTTTTCACAGCAATCTGAAATTAGTAAATTGGGATAGGTATGAACAAATTGTTAATAAAATGTTAATGAACTTTAAAGTTGACAATAGTAAATCTCCTTGACTCATACAGAAAGTTTTGTGCAATTATTCTATTGGTAATTAAATTCTCCGGGCCCAGCTTAAACCATAACACAACTGATAGTAATAATAACCATCCTAGAAAAAGGTGTCAAGTGCCTTGGTGGAATGATAAATATTCAAAAGAAGTAGAATACTGCAACAACGCCTACATTAATTTCAAAACTAGTCTTAATAGTAAAAATTACATTAATTTCAAACGCACACAAGCCTTTAAAAAACGCATTTTAAAAGAAGAACTTGTAAAAGTTGGTCTGAATTCTGCTCATTCTGTTTTACTATGCAAGAGTTAAAATCTGCTTTAGCCTCAAGAAAAGATTCTTCATGTGGCCTGGATTGGCTTTCATACAAAATGTTTAAACAATTTTTTTAAGTCTATTAAATAGTTTATGGTCATCTTCTATTATCCCAGAGGATTGGAAAACTGACTGTTTTGTACCAATATTAAAACCTGGCAAAGAGTTTAATTTGGCTGATTCTTATCGTCCTATTACACTGAGTTCATGTGTTGGACATTTTTTCGAACAATTAATAAAACAGAGATTAATTTTTCATATAGAAAGTAATAATCTTTTACCTTAAAATCAGTTTGTCTTTCGTTGTGGCCGTTCTGCTTGTGAGAGTCTACGTCATTTCTGTCTGGATATTCACGATGCTTGTTCCGAGAATAACGTACTAGTTGGTGTTTTTCTTGACATTGTAGGGGCTTTCAATAATGTAGATCTGAACAAATTATCCTCAATATTATTATTACTACAGGTACCTGGAAAAGTTGTAAATTGGATTTTTAATTTTTTGAACTACAGAAAGGTGTTTGTTAAGGTTAACAATCAATTATTTGGTCCAAGATATTCTTGAAGGGGTGTATCACAGGGTGGTGTATGGAGCCCATTGCTTTTTATCCTATTCATACATCAGCTAAATTTAACTCTGGGGTGTGAAGTTTCTAATCTGCAGTTTGCAGATGATTTATTTGTTTATTGCTCTGATACTAATTTTTTACATGTACAATCAGTCCTCAATGTTGCTCTCCAAAGACTAAAGAACTATTTTGATAGCCTTGGGATGGAGGTCAGGAATGAAAAAAGTAAAGTTGTTGTCTTTTCAAAAAATGGAATTAGAAATGGGAATATAAATATTTTGTTCAATAATAATGTAATGTCTGTAGAGAGCTCTGTAAAGTTTTTAGGTGTTATTTTTACAAACAATTTTCTCGAGCTTTAAATGCTCGTAATGTTTTAAAATCTTCAACAGGCACAGATTGGGGTGTTGATCCAAGGATTCTATTAACATTGTATAAATCATTAGTAAGGAGTCATTTTGAATATGCTTTTTTTTGTTTTGCAGGGGTAAGAACTATAGTAGATAAATTAGAAAAGGTACAAAATAAATGCTTGCGTATTATAATGGGTGCCATGCGAACTACTCCCATAGTGTCAATGCAGGTGGAATGTAATATACCTCCATTAGCACTTAGGTTTAAATACTTACAATCAAAATTTTTTGCAAGGTTGCTCTCCATCAGTAATCATCCACTTCTTGTTAAACTGCGGGACACTATTAACAGGACTGCCAATATTAATTCATATTTGTTTCAAGGTTTTTCTGAAACATAACAAATTTTTAGTAAACATAATATATTTTCTAGCATGGTATGGCCTTGTTACTCTGGTTTATATGAATCAAAATTTATTCAGATTAAAATTGTAGTCAAAAGTCTTCTAAAGTATAAGGAAGACATTTATAGGGAACTTGATAGGTGGCAGGGATATCATCAGATATATACAGATGGGTCTAGGAACAATGAAGCAGTCTCTATAGCTGTCTATGATAGTCAGATCAAAAGTGGATTTGGTCATAGGCTGAATCCACTCACAAGCATATACTCCGCTGAATACAAAGCTATGGAGCACATTCAAACACAGACTCATCATAAGTAGATAATAATAACAGTTTAAGTTTATTAACAGCACTACAAAATCCACAATTAAATTCAAAAACTAACTATATTATATATAAAATAAGAGAGTTTTATCACCTACAGCAAATAGTCCTATTCTGGACACCAGCCCACATTGGTGTGCATGGTAATGAGCAAGCAGACTATTTAGCTAAATTTATTACAAATCCGGCCTACAATCAATTAAGTCATAGCTTTTTAAAATTCCCAATTCCTTATTCAGACGCTCTATCTCTTTTCAAACTCACATTACAGAAATAATTTTACAACTTGTGGCATCAGGTGGTAAAGGTAAAAGTAAAATGGTTCGCTACGATAAAGAAAAAGGTCTCTTCCCCTGGTTTACCCGGGGTAGTGACTATAGCCATTGAAAGTATTATACCACAATCTGTCGTTTGCGTCTGGGACATTGTCGTTTTGGTGCTCACCTTTTAAGGATTGGTATTTTTGACTATTCAACTTGTAGATATTGCTATAATGCTGATGAAACCCTCGAACATATATTTTTTGTTTGTCCACAGTTTAGTATTCAAAGGATGGTCCTTGTAGAAAAACTTTTAAGTATTTTTAAAACTGCTGAAGATATCCCGCGCTCCCTTCAGCAAATACTAAGCATTCAAGAATGCTTCTTGCCAGTTTATGGCTTTATTGTTTCTACTATAAATGAAATCTAATTGTTATTTGTACATATGTATATTATACTAATTTGTTTAAGATATTTGCTTTCAGCTATTTCAGCTATTTTCAGAATTTGACTGTTAAATCGATTTTGACAAATTAATTATTGTACTAAAAATGACATTACAAGGACTTGACATTGAAAAAAGATGGAATGTAAAAAAAAAACAAGAATTTGACAAAAAAATATATTTTAAATAAAGACATGGCGTCGGCCTTATAATTAAAAAATGATTCTTGAAGAAAAATTAGAAGAAGACATGGCTTCGGCCTTAATATAAAAAAATGTTTTAAGAAAAAAAACTAAAAGAAGACATGGCTTAGGCCTGACATCAAAACTTGAGTCAAGAATAAAAAAGGAAATTAAGACATTTAAAAATATTTAAAGATATAAAATACAAAGGACATGGCTGTATGGGCTTTGTTCTCTTTGCCTGTTCTGAACGGAACGAACATAACCAAAAAAAAAATGTCTATGCAACGTTAAATGACACTGACGTCTAGTAAATATACTAAGATTTGAGGTTATGTTTCCAAATAAAGTGTATTTTAATAAATAAATAAAACTTTTACTTCATTAGTGAAAAAGTAACAAATAGTATATTCAAAATGTATACAAACTTAGCAATACCTCGGTAATTTAACTATAACTCAAATTTATATTTGCTAAATGTAAAGTCAACTGATACCGATTATATTATTTTTTAACAGACAGTGGTCGAGACTGGCGTGTTTCTGTCGTTCACTAACATCTGTGGAAGGTCAGAAGTTACCACAGGCTGGGAAATCTAGTGATGGTATCTCACCACCACCTCGTATACCAAGAGGACCGACTGATATACTTCAGGCTTTAGCGGCTACTGTTGGAACAGATCCCACGGCTGCTCATTACAAGTAACCCACTGTTACACCTGCTCAAAATTACTATACTATTAATAAAATCTAGAGAAAATAATTGTCTACATAATATATTTATACAAACCTAACATATTTTAGATATCATGATGACCCATACCTAATTCCGCTATCAAATTTCCGCAAGCGTTCTTACGCTCTGTCAGCTGAAGCAGGCAAAAAAGCAGCTGCTTGGGTGAGAGATCAACACCCAGAATTATTCACTACAAGAGAATGGGATCCACCAATGAAGATGAAAACACCATACTTCAATGCCGACCCTCATATAGAAGCTTTTGCTCCAAAACCTATTTATAATGATGAAACCAAAGTAAATCATTAAAATATCACATCATATCTTATGAAATAATATTGTATATGCATTCAATTCATACTATACTTGTAGGTCACAGAGGAAGATCTAGTTTATACTATAAAAAATGCCTTATTAGAAGATGCGGTCAAAGTGTTTGAACTACTTGGAGGTGTTGATAATGTAAATGAAGAACTGAAGCTCTATTTTCTCCAGTTGATATGTTTTTATAATGAAAAGGAGCCAGTTTCTAATGAATGGATTGAAGAAAGATGGTTTTCAACTGCCACTAAGGAAAGACAAGCTACTACCTGGAAGTAAGCAATAATATTTTCAGTAATTATTTGCTTTGCTGAGTTGAGGATATAAAAATATTTTTTTTCAGACTAGGAGGTCTTGCTGATAAAATATTCACATCAATGGATCCAAAGACCCCAGAGGCTTATTGCTCTCTAATAAAGGGCATGGCTAAATATTACCAGGTAAATAGCTTGATTTCATATTGTTTAAGAGAGTACTTCCTATGTCTTACCAACCTTTAAGTAATGCATATAATAGGAATTAATAGAGAAGAATTCTTATTATACTATTACTAAACATTGAAAAATTTTTCAAATATGTTGCCATATTTGTATTAACAGAATAACAACACTTTTTATTGTATAACAGAATAACAACACTTGTTGCTACCAGCAAGTCCCCTTATTTGCAACATACCCATAAGATAAATTGTTATTTTGAATTCACCACATTTATGCAGGTGTTTAAATAAATAAAGACATTATGCTTTCTTGGACTTGTATGTCATCTCGATTTAATATTACAACAAAAGCTACTAATATTACATCAGTAGACACTAACTATATAAACAAAACATTAAAGGCAGAACGAGCATATGCACTTTCTCGGGAAGCTCTGGAGAATAATGTCCCACTATCCACCGATGTCTACAACTCACTCCTTGTATGTATTGGCTTTCTTAAGGAAGGCGTCACACTACGTATTGAAGCATTATTGGAGTTACTGAATGAAATGAACCAGCAGGTAATTAACTCACTTGCTCAGTAAATAACTTAATGAACTTTGCCATAAGGATATAATTAGTATATATTTGATAATTACTATACTGGCTGTGGATTGTGACCCACAATTTAAATAATCTGAACATAAATACCTATTCTATGTTCCAGGGTATAACCCCCAACACCGGGACACTTACCTCCTGCCTGCGTTCGCTATCAGCCTGGGGAGGTGGGAAGACATTACAAAATATGGCGCTTCAGATTATTGCTGAATTCAAGAATATTGGAATAGAACCTAACTTGTCAGCATATTATTACCTACTTTGTCTGTTTTGTAAGGAAAGTGAGTTATGTTTTTGCTGGCAATACTTTTTTATGATATGCTCTTTTTTTCCTTTTGAAATATTTTATAACCATAATATTCTATTTACAGTACTACTATTGTTATATGAATCTCTAATAGTTAATATTCAAGACCAAATAATATTATATTATAGACAGATAATTTTTAGTCAGTGGTGGCCTAATGGTTAGAGGGCCCGCCTCTCGTTGCCGAGGGCGCGGATTCGATCCTGGCCCGGGCAAATACCAATGTGATTTTACCGAATCATATGTACTTGCTAAGAGTATTTAGACATCACTGATTAATGCTGTTTCCCAAAAGAGGGTTGATGTCAGGCAGGCAGCCGGTCGTAAAAAGCAATTGGCCAAAACTATTCACAACATGTAGGGCAGACCCTGGCTATGGCCAGGAAATTACCAGGTAGAAGAAGAAGATTAAAGACAGATATTTTTTCTTGCACGATTCATTTACAGACATAGTTTTTTTTTTCAGGTTTCATAATTTAGATTTTTTTTTATAAGAAAATTCTTTTATTGTTACATGTCAAATTGAATATAATTAAAGTTTTCTTCTCCATTCTTCAGGAGGACCTCGTATTGATATTCTATCGGGAATATTAACGGAACTGGAAAAGAAAGATACATTGGAACCAGAAGATGTCGCTGACACGAGTTTCTTTATAACCGCCATGAGTGTATGCAGTGAACATTTACAGGTGAAAATTAATTTGGCAACATTAAGCGAAACCTCATAAAGTGACTTCCTATTTCTTTCTTGTTTATATAAATTTTAATTGTGGTATTCTGGGGACTATTTCGTTTTGGAGGTGAAATCTGTTCCTTTTTTCGAAGTCGGTATGAAGTCGTCACCTTGACGAAGCTTCCATTTCTAGTCTATTGAGATATGCATTGACATTTGTTAAAAAATATAGTAATATTTGTATTCTTTTTTTCACCAGGATATGAATTTAGCAGAACGTGTCCACAAACTTCTAATGAAAGGCGACAACTACAAGTTGGTTGGTGACGCATACAAAGAAAGCATTTATTACAGACATCTTGTTACTGTTGCCTGCAGGTAATAAAATACTATTTTCCTAATTATATTATTATGTCTTAAACAAAAATTTTTTAAATCAGTATGGTAAATATAAAAAGTAGATGTAATTGTTCAGAGTAATCAGTTCACTTAAATATTTTTATATTTTCAATACACATAAGGTTATCCTTCTGTTTTATAAAAGTTTAAATAAAACAAATTTCAGGCATGCACCATTTGAACGAACAATGGAACTGTTAGACACACTTATACCAAATATCTATGTTCCTGAGCCAACTGTTATGGAAGAGGTAAATTCTACATATTCCAAACCACTAATGATCGCATTCTAATCAGTGGCGTGCACACCATAGATGCAAATAAGCACTGCATACCTACAAATCTATATTGTTTAATTCTAACTTACATACCTTTAATCATACATACATTACGAAATACAAATGTTTACAGACATTTAATATGACATTTGATTCACGATTTCTTTAAAGTGCCATCTATCAATGTAAAATCGAAACATTTTCGATTGTTCGCTGCTAACTACTACCGCCGCTATGCAGCCAGAGCGGCGGTATGCAAAACTACTCTCCTTATTTTCCATACAAAAATTCTTGAGGACAATCTACAAATCTCGTGTTGTATGCAGGAAATGTTTGTATGTGTGTGTATAAAACTATGCATGTGTTAGTGTTCGGGAAGCATTGCATGTTTTTTATTGTAAAATCTCGTAGAAAGTCCGTAAATTGTCAAATGAAACGGTACTCTCTGAGTGATCCGTAAACTGTTCATAAATATATATTTTTTGTTATTTTATTATTATTGAATATTGTCATTTGTCTTTCGAAACGGAAGTGAATAAGTTTTAATTAATTAGTAAACAGTGGATTAATTTATTAACGAATTATGGAAAATTATAGCTATGAGCTCTGTGCTTGTGATGTTTGTTTATCGAAATTAATTACGAGTGGATTTCATTATTGTCGTTTGATAATAAAATTAAAATAATTGTAAAGGGAAGGTGTGTGACCAGTTGAGATTGAACTAAAAGATAGTTGATAGTTTTAATTAGTTAGCAGGTTGTGTACACAAATAAGCTATTTTGCTTGCCTTGTTTGTTGTTTTCAAATGATAATAATAAGAATGTTTAAATCTCCACGGGATATTCCTAAATAACTTAATTATAAAGCTGTGATGAACAGATCGCATTTTTTTGAGGTACTTTCGTTTCTCAGAGACAGTTGAAAGATTCATAAAGTATATGAATGTTCGTTCTGATCGGACTGCTGTAAGATTATGCGCGAATATTATCAATGTTTGAATGAAACTTATATTTTCTGATTACTTCGCGTATTTTATTATGTTTAAAAACTACATACCCCCGACGTTTCGATAACCTTTTCAGTGACCGTGGTCACGGTAGACATCTCGTCTGCTCGTTTAAAATAATAAATTACGCGTAGTAATTCGAAAATATTAGTTTCATTTAAATGAATACTTGCGAAAGATTTCATTATTATCAATTTTAAGAAAGGTAATTATGAAAGTTGATACTTTTTGTCATACATATTTTGCTTACCCTACCTCAAATCTCTGTGCACGCCACTGATTGTAATGTATTAAATTATAATTAATTAATTATAATTAATTATATAAATTATATTGATATTTTGTAAAAAGTTATATACACATAATTTATTTTTATAAATGTTACAATGTTACATGATTAAACCTTTAAATATACAAAGAATATCTATAAATGTAAGTTGAATCTTCTATTTTCATAACACAATAATCAGTATTACCTTTATTATTAATCTTTATTTGGAAAAATTGTGACGTCATGATTCTATAGTCTGTAACGGTGTTATAATCTGTGCACAGATAATAAAAGTCTTGGAGTTGGGTGGAGCCGGTGAACGTCTGTCAGAAACATGGTCTCAGCTTGTTGTGTTCGGACATGCGAGAAGACTCCGACTGGTCGAAAGACTTTTAGACGCCATGTGCGCTTGTATCTCATATCAAGGTAGATGCTATATAGCAGTGAAATGATAAGCTAGGGAGTATTATCTTCTTACAATAAAATACTATTCTGGTTTTAGACGAGGAAGTAAAATCAAAAATACGTAAATCGGCAGCGGATATGCTCAAGTTCTATCAGATGGTAGAGGAAAGAAATGAAAATGTTACCACTCGGACGCCTGTACAGAAGTAAGAATAACAAAAAAATATTAAAATTGAACATCAGTAGTATTCCTATATCCAAGTAAAAAGAGATGAAAATTTTATTAGACTCACATTTTTTTTAAAGATATTATATATACAAATATATTTTTTCATTGATTCAATTTAACAATCGTTTCAAATATTTACATATCATTTATCTAACAGACTGTCAGCGGTGGCGTTATCAAATATAATAGATTTATGTTCAACGGGTGAAGAACCAGAGTCCTGGGAGGCTATACAGCTCGCAGTTAACGAACTCGGCTCAGCTAGTGGGGCGGGGCGAGCTGATGTTATCAGTACTGTTGCTACCACCGCCGCGAAGAAAGGACAACATGCACTCGCCGCTGTGAGTATACAGGAAGAAAGAGATAGCAGATAATGAGAATATTTTATATGAGAATGAGATAGGAGACGGTGTTGCGGTTGTATATGAGATCGAGATAACAGATGATGATGTATGTTAAAAGAGATGGCAGATACGGACACGTTTTATGTGAGAAAATTATAGCAATAGATGTAAAAGTGGGTTTGAATAGGATTTTTTTAAAACTTTAGGTTTCATTAATTTCTATACTTAAAAGATCCTCTCTTGATACCTCACTAAGTAGATTTGGTACATATAACCATACATTTAGTTCATATATTCCAACTAATATTATAAATGCGAAAGTAACTCTGTCTGTCTGTCTGTTACGCTTTCCCGATTAAACCTCTCAACCGATTTTGATGAAATTTGGCACAAACAATCTTTAGACCCTAAGAAAGAACATACCCTTTTATTGTGAAAAAGGGGATGAAGAGGTTGAAATGGGGGTTGAAAGTTTTTATGGGATTTCTTAATTTTAAAAGATAAAACCATGTAACTTTATATTTAAGCACTTGATAAGATATATTTAAACATTTGTTCTAGCGTTTTTGAAATTTCGACCAGTGAGGGGGTGAAATAAGGGTTGAAAGATTGTATAGGATTTTGTCATTTCTGGGGATAAAAACATGAAAATTTATATTTAGGAACTTGATCCCTACTAATATTATAAATGCTAAAGTAACTCTGTCTGTCTGTCTGTTACGCTTTCACGCCTAAACCACTGAACTGATTTTAATGAAATTTGGTACAGAGATGGATGAAGTTGACCTTGAGAAAGAACAGGATAGTTTTTATCCCAGACTTTTGAAAGGTTCTCTTGGAAATGCGATATAACCGAACTCCACGCTGGCGAAGCCGCGGGCGGACAGCTAGTATATGTATATTTGAGTTAAATGGCTTCAATCCTTTCAAAAAGACACTCAGACATCCAAAAAGCCGCTCTCCGTGGAAGAAAATAAATGTTCATTTCATATGACAACTTTATATAACTTTATAAGACGTATTTACTTTAATGTTTTCCATACAAATTCCAGAGCGCTTTAACTTACTTAGCGGAGTGTGGATTCCCGGAAGCGATGTCGGCGAGCGTGGACACGTTGAGTGTGATGCTGAACAGATCTACTGAGGAGGTGGAGACGATGCTACAAGGAACGGACCTCCAAGGAAAGCTGCAAGAATCAGCTATGGCCGTAGTACAGGCTTACCGAATGTAAATATACATTTTAATATATAATAATACTAATAGTCACACTATGTATGAACTTCTCATTCTAAACATCTATGAATGACATGTGTTAAGTGTTTAAATTTACAATTCCAATTATAATCACTCTGAAGAGTAATGGTATAATGAGATCTAAGATTATCGCGAGTCTTATTCATTTAAATGAAACTAATATTTTTCGGGTATACTATGCGACTTTATTTTTGATAAAAACAACATACTTCCGACGTTTCGGCTACTTTTCAGCAACCGTGATCACGGGCAGACGAGATGTGACGACATCTTTAGTTTCATTTAAAAGAATAATGGTACAGTAAATCTGGGTAACTTTGACAGATAAGGGTGATATTTTATACTATATTAAAAAAAATTAAACCTATCACTCGGGTGTTTTTATTTTACCAGTGCTCTCGTATTACTTTCCGTCTCTAGACATCCACAGAAAGTTTATAAAACATACCAATATAGTATAAAATCTAAATTTTGTGTGTTACCCTCCTAAGATGGGTAACTTTGACACACACAGAGCCAAGCATAAAAATGTAGTAATAAGTATTATTTTTATCAATCTGGGTAACATTGGGGTATATATTTATTAACTAATGGATGCATGTGACACAATAAAACGAACATTTTGCAATTTTGTCTTATAATAAAAAAAAAAATTATGAAGAATCAGTCTACAACATTTGGCAATGTTACACACATTGTTTAACACCATCAAAAACGCTTAAAAAACTCCTTTAATTTAACATTTTTATTCAAATTATAAAGAAAACAAGCAAAAATAATTTTAACAAACAAACATTTTGTAAAATCTTGAGCATAACTTGTCTATCTCCCCACTCCATATAGAGCAAATCCTCAATAACACTTGTGTAGAGCCCAGGCTGCTTTATACTGATTTTACTGTTAACTTCTGGAGATACAACATCATCTTATCTAATTTTAATAATTTCTCTTTTATCTGGCCATTTCCAACCACCTTGTGTTGATCTACTCATGACAACAAATGTATAATACGGGAATGTGTAACTTGTCACTTTTCCTGGAAACAGTGTGCCTTCTGTTTTAAATATAACTGTTGTTCTAGGTGAGAACTCAATATGTTTTGATGTGCATGTTGCAAAACTCCATCTTTAACAACAAATTCTTCAATCACCTCTTCCGCCACCATTTTAGTTTCTATGTAAGGGTAACTTTGACACTGTCAAAGTTACCCAGTTACTGTTCAAAATACGTATTTTCATATGTATTTATGCATGAAATTTCAAAATAAGATTTAATTATATGCAATTTTTTCATGAAAATGCGGTAGTACACTCACAAATGGCTCTGTATAACATCTCACTTACCATATCAACAACCAAAATCACAAAATATTCAAAAAGTTATTCACCCTAAAGTAAACTTAAATTCGCGCGATATATTCAGAAACGAAGTTATGACGGTTTTTTACTTTCACAACTTACTTTTTTTTAAAGTGCATTTAGGAAGCTTATTTAAAATCGCAAATCTAAAATAAACATATATGAATAATGTTGGTTTCATGCGAAATAATAATCGAAACTAGTTCATGGTCCCACTGTCAAAGTTACCCGATGAATCAAAGTTACCCAGATTGACTGTATCTTTTTTGTTTTATAGTTTTTGGCTGATAAATATATCAGTAAAAAAATCTGTCAGTACCTTCTAGTCTCTAATTTTTATTGAATGAGTTATTTTGATGTTTTATATCAAGGGCAAAAACCGGTGAACCGTTACGAGAACGTGATTCAAGTGAAAGTTCCAGCGACAGCGAATCATCGTCCGACGAGGAATAATTCATAGACAAATATATGTAGTGTATTTAATAAATTGTATTAAGTATAAAATGAAATTTTATTTATGATTCCCGTTATGACTTTTATACTCGTTAAATCGAAATTTATTGCCGATTAAAATTATGAATGAGGTATTTTATTACTGTTTGACGTGGTATCATGAAATCCATACGACTTATAATAAAATATTCATGATGATAAAAATGATTTTTTAAAATCTACAAAAATAATGACAAACATTTTTGCGGCAGATTCACTTTTCGATACGAAAATACAAAGAACCGTTGAACATTTTAACATCGCAAAGAAGAATGTGCCCACTAAAAGATATTATATTTTATAAGAATGTATCCCACCAAACCGACATAAAGCAGTGTAGTGGGTTGATCTCTAAACGCTTTTCATATAAGAAATCGAAACTTAAACCTATTTGTGGGACGAGTGAGTTATTTATTAAAAAAAAAATCAAATAAAGTTAAGCTTAAGACCTTTTATTATAGCTTTTTCAAAACCTGTTTTTACATGGAAGAGATTTCACATAGACATATTGTGACTTATTTTTAAAATAATATGATTATGTATCACATTTATTCTCAAAAAGATTTCATATTCATATGAAAGATTGGAATCCCGTTACTTGGAACTCAAACAAGCGGTTATATTAGACATTGTCCTCATGACATGAACCCATTTTAAGGTGTTAATTGGTTGCGACACATTCATTTTAAAGAAAGCAATTTTCGCCTTCAGTCACTGTCCATCCATAGTAACGAATGTATTTGTATTCGCTGTGTAAAAATGTCGAAGAATTGTTACTTTATTCTTTTTGTAAGTTTAATTTTTATGAGATACAATTTAACACTTATGATGCAATTTATATATTATTTGTCATATTTTATTACAGATGTGTGTAGCAATATCAAGAACGGTGTTCGCGTTCTTTTACACAAAAATGGATTGCGGTCCATACGGATTCGTTTGCGAGAGCGCGACTAAATTAAGATTGTGTGACGGTCGAAATCTATTCGGACCTGGCTTCATCTGTCCAGCGAACACGATATGTAACGAGGAATCTGACGATGTTTGTGAGAATACTATGAACTACGTAGATTCGCCTTTAACACGAACAATTCGATGCCATCGAAGCGAAAGAATCGCTGATCCCAGCGTACCAGACTGCAAGGGCTACATCCTTTGCATTCCAAACAAAAATCGCTTCCAGGGGATAAAGTTTAAATGTTCTGGTAACACCGTTTTCAGTGGATACACCCGTACTTGTACTACAGCTGACAGATACAAATGTCCAATTCACAGTACGACAAAGACGCCACCTCAGATTTATAACAACGGGCATAGGGAGGGTGAAACCAGTGTCGGTTCTTATGGACAACCGCAAGTGGACGGTCATAGGGCAATTGATTGTAAAAGTTATAAATTTACACTTACACAAGACACTCAGCCGGTGAAAGTTACTTATTTTTGCCCTTCAAGACCCGCTAACGGAGAATCGTCCATAAGATGTACCGTTTTCTCAAACCATTTCTGCATCACATTGGAAAGAGATCACGAAGACCAATTCATTGAGAACTCCGGTGTAGCATATCGAAAACCTCGTACAAACGTTTAACATGAAAATATTGTGTAACTTATTTCCTCAAGACTGAATAAAACCACGTTATGTACTTATAGTTCTATATTTGTACCAGTAATTATCAATGTTGTTCTTTAAATTGTATAATAAACAGTATGTGGTGTAATTTTATATTACTTAAACCTAATGAAATAAATTATAACATATTGTATCACATTATATTTTGCATTCATAGCTTTCTTCATCTACACATTTCCTTTTCTTTTTATGAAACACTTCATCGGAGTCACATTCTTTTACCTTTCGCCTAAATGTTGAGTTTTTAGATTTTTTACATACATAATATCTCCTACAATTCTCTGGATCATTAAATTTACCTTCTCTTTCACATTCGAAATAACCTTTTTTATCAAATCCTTCTTTGGACTTTTCGACAGATACTTGGCTTGTATTTTTCGAATTATTTTCTTCAGATTTAGACATGCTAAGTGATTCCTGGGTACATTTTGTATTTCTTTTATCTAAATAGTAACCTTTTTGACACTGTAATGTAAATCTTATGAACCCAATATTCTTCTTAACACAAATAAAGTAACTGTTGTTCGATAATATATTATTAAACCTACCGGTAGTCGTACATTTAAACTGATTATTTCTTATGCAATGTGCAACATTTTTAGTGCATTGTTTCAAAAATTCACTGAATACTGTATTAGGAGGACAAACACCTCTAAGAGGTTTATGAAGTCCAATGCATAAATAAAATTTATTACAATCAAAGCGATCAGAGTACTTTCCACGTTTGACACATACAAACTCGGATTCAATTTTTATTACGCCAGTATAATCATTAGGTTGTCTTATTCTAACAGTTGATTTTGAGTAAATGTTTGTTTTATTTTCGTTAATAATTTCAGTAACTTTATTAATTGTTGGCTGGGTACTTGCGCTGTTGTATACATTAGTTGTAACCAAAGAATCGGTTAACTCTCTGTGTATTAATTGAGGATTTAATACTTTATTCTCTGTTTTTGATGTTCCTGTTGAGGTAACTTCAAAAAATAATCTTGTTGATTCTGTCGATAATTTCTCAGTATTCAAATAATTTAACGTAGATTCAGCATAGGGAAGGGACGGTCTTATAGTTTGAGTTTCTACAAATGTTTTTTCGGATAATTCATTGATTGGTGTAGATAGTACATCTGTCATATCGTTGCTTAAACTTGTTTTAGACACAGACGAATGTAGTAATTTATTGTCATTATTTTTTAAATTATCATAATAGCTGGCCTTTAATGCATCCTTGTCAGTTGTTTCATTATTACTTAGTAACTTATATGTTCCATTTATCGTTGGTAAAGATATTTGCATTTTTGACAATGATTTAAAATAACTTTCTACCGAATTATTAGTATGAACTGCGCGCGATTGATTTACAATTTCGTTGCGATCAATAACATCAGCGAGTATTGATTTATTTTGTATTGTATCATATATAACATTATTCAAGCCACCCAGTTTATTTGTTTGATTAGTATCGAACATTTTATTATTACTTTCAATTGTTGGGGAATCAAGTGAGTAATACAGAAAATGTTTTTCTTCAATTGCTATAGTAGTGTTTGAGTTCAGCGATATATTGACAGTTTTGTTTGAATATTCAACATTAACGCCTTCTACCTGGGTTAGAAGCTGCCCATTTGCGGATCTTGCTATATTATATTCATTTTCATGGTATTTCTCTGTGACATCATAGTCATTAGCCACTGTGGCTACATGATTTTTTTCTGTAATAACACGTTGATCAGAATCGTTGACGTTCGTAAAATAATTTAAAGAAGCACTTTGGTAATTAAAAGTAACTGATGTTAATATATTTTTTTCGGTACCGTTGTTCTTCCAATAAGAGATAGTTTCTACTTGAATTTTTTTTTCTTCTACATTACTCTCAGTTATATTCTGTCCTTCGAAATTTTTATCATTATTAGACATTGGTAGTTTTATTACTAGTTTGGTTTCTTTAATCGGCTTTGTAAAATTTACTACCTTATATATATTATCGAATGAGCTCGTCTTAGTTGTAGCCATTAAAACATTATCCACGGCAGAAACGTTTGAATTAATATGAGTTAACGAATCAATGGTTACCATAGCATCTTTTTTATATTGAGTCACATTTTGGTTCTCATTATTATCAAACGTTATTCTATATTCTGTTGTTATATCTAAATTAATAGCACTGGATTTAATCTCATTTGAATCTTTAATATTTATATCGAGAAATCTATCACTGTACAAATTAAAAGAATTCATCGATGGACTTGTTTCGGAAAAATTTTGGCCCATAGTGGTGTTAATAATTTCAGTTTTTGTATCAGACCAATCTAATACATTAAAAGAATCGTAAATTTCAGTTGAATTTTTAATAATATTTTGGTTTTTATTATGTATAAATTTGTCGGCACCAATACTTCTTACAATGTCATTGTTTAGGTATGTCGAAATAACATCAAATGACCCATTTAAGTCAGAAGCATCCGAGCTTGTGTTTACGTCTGACAAATATATTGGTTTCTCCAAATTTGTTGAAAAAGTGGCATTATCTGAAGTATTGTTCTTTTCTGAATAACTCAAAGGGGAAGGAAATCTGGATCCCTTCACTTGAAAAGCTTTTGGTACGCTTAATACATCTGTATTAAATTTTGATACATGTTGTTGAACAGCTACTGGAGTAGTTATAGATAATAATTCATCAACTGCTGTCTCTCTTTTATGGGTTGCCAACTTAAAATCTTGTGTAGATTTTAAATTCATTACATTAACTGACGATTTAATACTTAAAGTGTTTTCAGTCAAACTGGTTGTCATTTTATCTCTATTTACAAACGGTAAATTGTCTCTTATCAACTTAGTTTCGTTTTTATCTCTTTTTTCTATTATACTGGATTCTACCACTTTTAATTTTAAACCGTTCTGGTTTGTCGTTGGTCGTTTCGTATTAACAACAGGCAAAACTGTATGTTCATTTTCTGACACTGGTGGGTACAGAGCCGACTCATTAGACAGAGTATTGTAAATGAAAAAGTTAGTCGATGCTAAAGTAACAAAGGATGAACTAGAACTCATACTGCCTTTTTGACTTTCCAGTTTCACCGGGAAATCTAAAATATTTGAATCAGAATAAGGTTCATCTGCGTCTGCTACTAAAGATTGGGACAGTATAGGTGTTTTAGTAGAAATTTGTTTTTCAACTTCTATTTTATTATAAGGTCCAGATTTTTTAGTCACATGAGTAAACTTTTTTGAAGTGTTTCCTTGAATTAATGCCTCGGAATCACCCAAAATAATCGGTCGTATTTCGTTGTTCACATCTACAGTTGTCGAAGCCGGTATTGAATAAATGTCCATAGAAGTATGATTTTCAACTTCCATTTTATTGTAAGGTATAAATTCTGTGGACACGTTAGTCAAGCTTTTAGAAGTGTTTCCTTCCATTAATGCGTGGGAATCACTCAATGTAATGGTTCGTATTTCGTTGATCACATCTACCGTTGTCGAAGCCGGCGTTGAATGAATGTCCATAGAAGTATGATTTTCAACTGCCATTTTATTATAAGGTATAAATTCTGCGGACACGTTAGTCGAGCTTTTTGAAATGTTTCCATGAAATAATATGTCTGAATCACCCAAAATAATAGGTCGTATTTCGTTGATCACATCTACAGTTGTCGAAGCCGGTGTTGAATGAATGTCAACAGAGGTATGATTTTCAACTTCCATTTTATTGTAACGTATAAATTCTGTGGATAATTTAGTCAAGCTTTTTGAAGTAATTCCTTCCATTAATGCTTCGGAATCACCCAAAATAATCGGTCGTATTTCGTTGATCACATCTACCGTTGTCGAAGCCGGTGTTGAATGAATGTTAACAGAGGTATGATTTTCAACTTCCATTTTATTGTAAGGTATAGATCCTGTGGATAATTTAGTCAAGCTTTTTGAAGTAATTCCTTCCATTAATGCTTCGGAATCACCCAAAATAATCGGTCGTATTTCGTTGATCACATCTACCGTTGTCGAAGCCGGTGTTGAATGAATGTTAATAGAGGTATGATTTTCAACTTCCATTTTATTGTAAGGTATAAATTCTGTGGATAAGTTAGTCAAGCTTTTTGAAGTATTTCCTTCTATTAATACGTTGGAATCATCCAAAATAATCGGTCGTATTTCGTTGATCACATCTACAGTTGTCGAAGCCGGCGTTGAATGAATGTCCATAGAAGTATGATTTTTAAGTTCCATTTTATTATAAGGTATAGATTCTGTGGACACGTCAGTCAAGCTTTGTGAAATATTTCCTTGAAATAATATGTCGGAATCACCCAAAATAATAGGTCGTATTTCGTTGATCACATCTAGTGTTGTCGAAGCCGGTGTTGAATGAATGTCCATAGAAGTATGATTTTCAACTTCCATTTTATTATAAGGTATAGATTCTGTGGACACGTCAGTCAAGCTTTGTGAAATATTTCCTTGAAATAATATGTCGGAATCACCCAAAATAATAGGTCGTATTTCGTTGATCACATCTAGTGTTGTCGAAGCCGGTGTTGAATGAATGTCCATAGAAGAATGATTTTCAACTTCCATTTTATTATAAGGTATAGATTCTGTGGACACGTCAGTCAAGCTTTGTGAAATATTTCCTTGAAATAATACGTCGGAATCACCCAAAATAATAGGTCGTATTTCGTTGATCACATCTAGTGCTGTCGAAGCCGGTGTTGAATGAATGTCCATAGAAGAATGATTTTTAACTTCCATTTTATTATAAGGTATAGATTCTGTGGACATGTTAGTAGAGCTTTTTGAAATGTTTCCATGAAATAATATGTCGGAATCACTCAAAGCAATCGGTCGTATTTCGTTGATCACATCTACCGGTGTCGAAGTCGGTATTGAATGAATGTCCATAGAAGTATGATTTTCAACATCCATTTTATTATAATGTATAGATTCTGTGGACACGTTAGTCAAGCCTTTTGAAGTATTTCCTTCCATTAATGCTTCGGAATCACGCAAAATAATTGGTCGTATTTCGTTGATCACATCTAGTGTTGTCCCCGGTGTTGTTTTTTCACCCGGTATCGTCACATATACGTGAGATTCATCAAAGGTTGTAGTATTCAAAATCAATGTGGGATTAGAATAGGATTCCAATTTTGGAGACGTTTCTTTAGCTAAGTGATCCAAAGTAGTAATAGAAATTTCATCTTTGGTCGTCCGATATGATATTGTTTCTGTTGTAACTGTAATATTCGGGAACAACGACGACGACGAAGCATTATCTGATCTTTTGGTTTCGTAAAGGTTTTCTAAGCCATTAAACAATAAAGTTCGGGATTCATTATTCACTTCTGTACTTAAAGTCACACCTTCTGTAGGCGACATAACTTCGTAATCAAGGAAATGGGTATCCACTGAAGTTGTATATTTCGTATCATTTAAAAAAGCTAATGGTGTCAAAGAATGGGTAGAATTTTTTAAATTTAATATATCCTTGTCATGTGTTTGTTCTTTATCAATGTGTGTGAAGTTTTGTTTATCTAAGAATAAATCAATTTTCGTATCACTATCTACACCGTTATCTAAAACAATATTCCTTTGGCTAGTTATATTATTTATATTCCCAGACGTTGGTAAACTAGGCGTTGATATTTCAATATGCTTGTCGTTGAATTTGAATAATTCACTATCCTCTAAATTGGGATAAGTATATTTTAGTTTTCCAATATCAACTTCTGTGTTACTATACTCGTACATGGTTGAAAGAAAATTATCAGTTGTGTCTTCAATAGGCGTTGTAGTAAAGGTTTCTTCCTTTAACTTCTGAAGAGGGTCCATATTCTTAGCCTTATTAATATTTATTTGTAATGCTTCATCTGTATAATAGGTTTCAGTTGTTTTTATAAAGAATGAATTTAGTTCTGAGCTAACATTGACAGAACTACTAATTGATGAAGGTCCAATCGTAGAAAATTCTAACTGGTAACTATTTGTAACAAAATCTGATTTATTGTATTGAGAATTATTATACGTCGTCACAAAATTAAGATCATTAAGAGCGGTAACTTTATTTGGGAAGTTATTATCGTCTACTATGTGAGTTGTGTCTGGAACACTATTCTTAAGCGGAAGCTTGGCCACATTATTTAAGTCAGTTCTTTTCAAGTTATTTACGTCTTGATTCAGACCAATATTGAGATCTAGTGAAACACTCGAAGTAGCTGGTTGTTGTGATAGCGATGTTAATTTTTTATTTATTAAGTTATCATTTAAAACTCTATCTAGTAAGGTCGAATAAAATAATGGAGTCTCAGTACTATTACTCGTATCATTATAATTTTCCGTCACTGATTGAATTATGTTTTGAGGCAATGTTTTACTATTTTTTGGCGAAACAATATTTTTTTCAATGAATAATTCCTGCAAACTCTTAAGAGTAGTATTATAATTTAAGTCATTTAAGTTGGCGTCAGTCACATTATTTAATACATAATTACTTGGTAAAGTAGATATAGGCCTTTCAGATGTGGTGTCTGTGTTTCCGTAATTTTTATTCAATGTTTTACCTTGCTCCTGTTTCGAAGGGAATACTGTTGTTACATCCGAATATTCCCCAAAGGACACACCAATACTTTCAAAAAGTTCGTTCGTCACTTCACTTTGTACTGTCACTGTTGGGGAAGTGGTCGTTTTCTCATACTCACATTCATATAAATTATATGATTTGCACACTGTATCTTGTGGACATTGAATTAAATATTCGTCCACAGTCGTCGATATTCCGCCACCAAAATCAACGCATATCTTGAAATGTGTCGAATTCACGCAGTGAAAAGCTTTTCCATTGCAGTCAATATTTGAACACGTTACGCACGGCAGCATTAAAATTAACTGGGAATAAAAATATATTTCATTAATTAGTAAGAACAGAATAAACTGAATAATTTATAAATTATTACTAATTTACCACAAATATTAAAAAGTTTTTGAATCCAATAATGCAAAATTCCATGGTCACATTTCAATGTATGTCACTGAACACACTTGCGTTTTATCTCATTGTTTTCAGGGAAATAACAGTATCTTGTTAATGTCAGATAATAATTTGAGTGAACACTTGGGAATTTATTTACTTAACAACATCTCATGTACACAATGAGACATGAGGAAGCTAAGCAAATACTTTTGACATCTTATTTCCTCCAATAAGATCACCATTGGTACATGTTTATTTATATCTATGACAAGAAACAAAATCAAATCCAAACAACAATGTTGTTGGCCTTTGAATATTACTTTGCTTTCATATATAAAAATATTTTTTTAATTTAAACTACATATATACTTCGAAAGGATCAGTGTTCTTTCTTTATCTTATTATAGCGAGAATTTACACGAATTTCTTTTATTAAACATTTTTCAAATCTATATTATATTTATAATCTATATTTATATATATATCAATAAAAGTAAAATAATAAATAATATGTCTCATTAAATAGACCTTTTTTCCAAGCCATGTCTTCATTCACTGAATAGACTTACTCCTTATAAATAATTTTTAGGATTAAATTGATGACCTCTTTAAATATTTTCTAACCAGAGACATATAAAAAATATTTTCATGATTATTTACCATATCAGTATAGTAAAAGTTACCAATTCAAGTTAACTGGAGTTATTACTAAAGTTTTAATATAGTTATAAGTTTAAAAAAGTAATGTGCACAAAAAATATAATTAAATAATTTTAATTCAAAAGTTTTTCGAAACTTATTTTACATGTAAAATAATAATAAAATGTAGAAATTTCCCCTGAGACGTTTATCAAGATGACGAGGCGTATTAACCTATTTATCTTAATAAGACGTAACAATTTGGATTTTACGCTAATATTCACGAAAACGTAAATGTAAATATATCTGATCTTTTCATATGCATATGATATAGATTGCTTTTAGTTATTTTGTAGCTAGAAGTAAAAAAAATTACTTATTTTTCAGGTTCAAGTTTTTTTTTCTGATTTTATTTTGGGACTTTTTATCAAGGTTCAAGTTTTGAAAACAAAAACATTAATGTAAAACATATGTATATTTAATTATTTAATATTTACCTAATTTTAAGTTATTATACTTAAATAAAATATCACATTGTCGTTAGCAATTTTCTAGAATAACTGATTAGCAATGTTTATACCAGCCATTTTTGTTTTAATCCAAAAGACTTTACTTTTGTTTTGTATAAAGATATAATAACTATGATCACCCAAACCAAAGAAATCCCGGACATTGCTAAACCTATAATTAAAAGAGACATTTGGAGACCGTTGTCTCTATCAATAACATAAAAGAGCCCTACACAAAATAGAGCTATCAGAGAAGCAGATAGAGTTTCTAAAGTACTATGAATTTTTGCCCATTTCCGAGTTCCGACGAGTTCGTGCGCTGTTTTCTCCCAACTTGATATTATAATTCCATATCCGAAGCCAGCTACCACATAACCAATGGAGAAAAGGTCCAGGTTTTCAGCTCGCAAGAAAACTGAAACGCGAATAAAAACTATTATGACAGTTTCTGAATAGTAAAAAGAAAATTATTCATTTAATTTCAATTATTCACCGTCCTAAGGATTCTGAACATATTGCCATTGGTGTTTCGAGGAACGAAAACATAATCAGATATTATCGTTTAATGAAGGTAAAGTTAATTATAGTAACGGTAAAATAAGATTATTGTGGTTTTAGAAAATGAAACACTGATAACAATAAGTGTGATGATAACTGAAATAAGATCTCTTACCGAAACAAGCACTTGTTGATATGACTAGACCACAGACTGTTATATATTTGTAATTGCTCCTCTTTGTCTGAACTAACCACGGTGTACATACTGCGAAACATATCCAAGTAAAGCCTTGTAATGAAATGAGAAAATTTGCCTCAAGTACTGGTATATTTGGATGCATTCGTGATGCAATCACTGGCATAAGCACTGTTTGAACAGTTACACTCAATTTGGTGAAATTAAGTAATAAGGCTGGATAAAATGCTCCGCAAGATAACGATCTAGTAAGGGGTTTCAAAAATGTATCGTTTATAGTGCATATCAGGTACGTAACTCTTCGTTTAGCTCTGTATAGTTTATAAGAAGGTATCCAGAATTTTCTTTTCAGATTAGTATATGTCGTTCGACTTCTAAATCCAAATGAATTAAAGAGCTTCTCCGTTTGAATATCCGTTATAGGTTCTATTGTCTCGTAAGTCACTTCTATTTCAGTGTTTTCGTTTACTTCAATATTTCCTAAAGAATCTTTCCTCCCTTGGCTTGTTATGCATTCGTCTATATTATCTCCCAAAGTACTAAATCTTTTTATAGCGTTGCTTAAACGTTTCTTATTTACACTTAAACTAAGTTCTGAGATGCTTATTTCATCAGTTTCACTTTCTTCTGGAATTTCAGGAAGGATTTCAACACCAAATATATTTCTTCTCTTCTCTTCTGGACTGGGCGGCGGAGTTATAGTTTCCAAAACATTACCGTCATCACAATCAAACTCATCTACCCGATGTAAATTATCGTCTGATGGACTTTTCCAGCATTTCTTTGTTAAGCTATGCAGTTGCAGTTCAGTGCCGAACAAATTATCAATACCTTCATTTTTATAACATGTTAAAGTCTGTGACAACTCTTTATCATTAGAAAAATAGGCGTATTTTTTTGTTTCATCTACCTTCAGTATCAAGATAGCGGGCAGAGTTTGCAGCATGATACCTCCAAGTATAATATAAGAATAGGCATAGCCATATATGTTTGTGAGAACAAACAAAATATGGGGGAAAAGTGACTGTCCAACAGCCTGCCCAGTATAACACATGCCCCTTACGAGTCCTAGACGAGAGTCGTAAGTCTCGTACAAAACTGCATCAACTTGAGTGGAAATCAAAGACGCTCCAAAACCTACAAAAAATAAACAGCTTAAAAAAAAGCAAAATAAAGTAGTTAACACTGACAAAGCCAATTTACCTCCAAATATTCCATAAACGACCGGTTGAAAGTATAGAGGAATGAAGGCACAAATAATCAAACTTATGACAATTATAAATAGTCCGATGGCAGCCATCACTCGATAACCCATTGGTCCACCCCAAGAATCCGCAGCCTCTCTGAACCAACATTCTGAAATAAAATTTCATATCAACATAATATCTCCCATAGATTTATTCCTTAAAAATATTTTCGAAGCCTATAAGATATAACATTAAACATCTTACGTGTCAAACCATACACAAATAGAAATGAGGATGGCGCAGCCAGACCTAGCCATAGTGGCACTTCATTACTTGCCAACTGAACCCATAGGACGCCATACGATAAAATGAGATTTGGAATGCATATCTGAAATTATATTAAAATGGATTATAAAATTTGATTTGCGTTTTATGATGTCTGATATGAGATAACAATGTTTTATTTTTATTAAATATGATTTTTTTTATTAATATTGGTATCTGTTGGATGTTGTGATATCATTACCTTTACTTTCATGGTATTTATGAAAAATAATATAACATTAATAAATATGTTATACATGTCAAAATACCTACAATATTTTCATAAAATTAAAATCAGTCACTCTTAAAAAAATATCCAAATATGTATATACTATTTATTATAAAATCGATAAAAAAAGTGTTTTTTTTTAACAATGTCACTAAGAGATTTAATATATGTAAATAAGTAATCGGTCTTCACCTTCGAGACTAAGATAGGTTCACCATATTTGTTAAAATTTATCAAAATTATGAATACCGTTTATAAGAATGAGATATAAATATTATTATAAAAGAATTTCCATCCATAACATGATAAGGTAGTACTTTTAACAAAGTCCATAGTTTATTAATTTCTTATACTTATATTTCTTATAGGTACCCTTGCCCTTGATACTATGAAATTGAAGATGTGCAGTTCCTAGTTAATTCATGTGCGAAGATTTCTAAGGTAGTTTATTTAAATGTATATCACATGGAGATGAAGAAGATTTTATGTAACGTCTCAAGATTAGATTATTTATTCTATATAGGAATACTAGCTTTTCGCCAGCAGCTTCGCCCGCGTGGAGTTCGGTTATACCGCGTTTCCAAGAGAACCTTTCAAAAGTCTGGGGTAAAAATTATCCTATGTTTTTTTAAGGTCAACTCCATCTCTGTACGAAATTTCATTGAAATAAATTCAGTGATTTAGTTGTGAAAGCATAACAGACAGACAGACACACAGACAGAGTTACTTTCGCATTTATAATATTAGTAGGGATTTGTCCTTCACAAACACTTCACATGCCACCTGCATAAGTAATATGCATTTACTAAATGTAAATGAAATACATAAAAACTACATATTTATTATAGTAATAATTTGTTATATTTATTTTATAACATGTTTGTAATGAACAACAATAATATACTTTTACGTAAACAGCGATTGTATTGAAATAAAAATAAACTTAAACTAAATTATATTTAAACAAGGCTTTGTTACTCCGTTTCCTAAATATATGAAATAAAACCTATGTACACATTAAGTCAATAATATTATATAATGAACCATTGCTTGAAGACATGAATATATTACATGTAATAAATATTTAAAAAAATATATTTTAAAACCCAAAAATGTATCTATTCATATCAAATAAAACACACTACGAAACTAGTTTTGGAATATTATAAAATACATGTATAATAGGGTAATATTTATATAAAATGTCTAATTAAGAAACAAAAACTCACTATCAATAAATTTATGTAGGTCGGTATGATTTGTTTTCTGTGGCAATTAAATGCATGCGAATTATGCAAATTTAGCAAAATCATATCACCTTATCAGTATACGAAGGCTATATATGATATAATGATAAGAAATTTATATATTCCATGTAATGTCTCAGAACTATTCAAGTGACATTTCCATATCTTAATACTGTTTGATGTTTTCTTGTCACATAATTATTATGAAGGCACTAGATGATGTATTATTATTAATATCTTGTTTGTACTGACGTAAACGAAGAGTAGTTGATACGTAAGTACCCATCTCTTACTTTTAGTTTAAAAACACATTTTCTAATAATTTCCTGTAATAGATAATGCAAATCAAATTATTTTAAAAACATTCGTGTCACATTTTCATACAGTTATGATACTCGTATCTATTATTTTATTGATGAGATAAAGAAAGCATTTACTTTTCAATTGTAGATTTATTTAATGTTTTTAAAGTAATAAAAACCAAACCATAATCATAATTCTAATATACACACATACTTCAAGACTCCGTAAAACACAGTCACATATAAGATAACACTATATTAACATCCAAATAAAACTAGTAAATATATACATACATTTAAAAATATAGCGGATGTAAGCAGCGGCCAGCGCCATGAAATGCCGTTTGATTGTTCGTCACCTTCCATTTAGGTGTTTTTCTTTTTAATATAAAAACTTCTTAACCATTTTAATTATTATCAAGACACTTCACAGCAGATCATGTGTTCAACACTATAGTATTGGAACTTCGCTCAAGCATGACGCATTAACAACTATTCATATAACATATTGACAGTATCGGGAGACTTGTGCGCGGCTACTTTGTCTTATCTTATCTTATTTGGTGGCCATTCAAAATACTAGTAACCATTATAGTGAGGAAATTTGAAAAATATTATTAAATGAATCTTAATCTTTATAAGAAATAGAATTATAATCTGTTAGATCTCGTTAGGTCATTTAGCTTGGATATTTAGTTTTGAAAAATATTCAGCCTTAGCAGAAATCGATTCAGTATTCCAAAAAAATATATATTACGAAGATACGTATGTCTATAACTATGATCTATTACTAATTAGTACAATTAGTTAATAATTGTAAACTTGTTTTAACATTTTATTGTCTTAAATTAAGGTAACCTTTTAATAAATTAGTGTAATTATTAAATATTTTTAATGATGCTTATGAGACAGAGTTTATGTCATGGGACTAGGGCATAAAATGTATAGGTAAATAATATTAAACTACGGACTACTAACTACTAAGTATCAAAATATGTATGAACGTTTTTAAGTCCCTGATATAAGATATTATTCCCCATTGAATTATTGAACAGGGCGATCTGATAATCTCACAGTGAGACTTTCTTTTTGAAAACGTCGGTGATTCATCTTTTTAATATAATTTCTATACTCTACTAATATTATAAATGCGAAAGTAACTCTGTCTGTCTGTCTGTCTGTTACGCTTTCACGCCTAAACCACTGAACTGATTTTAATGAAATTGAAATGGTACAGAGATAGAATTGACCTTAAGTAAGAACATAGAATAGTTTTTATCCCAGACTTTTGAAAGGTTCTTTTGGAAACGCGATGTAACCGAACTCCACGCGGGCGAAGCTACGAGTGGAAAGCTAGTAAAATATAAAAGCAGGTGTATTAGCTTTTTATTCATTTTTTCAAATTCGACTCGGATTATTATTCCTTAGAATAAATACTAAGTGTACACGCTTTTCACGAAAGAAAGAGTGTAGCCCCAACGACTTCATTTTGCATGTAATCTGTCTGGAAAGATCCAATCATTGTCAGATTCACACAAAAAATGTTCCAACTGCAGTTCTTGAACAATTAGTAACTTTTAGCGGCATTAGCTTACAAACTTGCCCTTTCACCACTTTCTCCTGAATACTAATTTTTTTTATAGCGAGTACACACCCTTAATTATGACATTACAAAAAAAAAACTCTGTTATTTAAAAAGGCATTTTGAATATGCGCTTATTTCTAAGTAAAACTAAATATCTGAAGTACAAAAAAGTATCGTTTCACAATTTTGAATAATTACATTGAGAATGAAAAAAAGATATTGCAGTTCCTTTTTTTATTTACTATTGCTCTAAACTCGAAATGATCCAGTGAATTTTAAATCACTACAGTTGTAAATAAATACTTAATTTAAATAATATTTTCTGTAATTGTACAAAACAATTTTTTATAATACGTATATTCTACGAAATTTATAAATGATGATCTATGACAAAAAAGATGATTTAAAAGACATAATTTAATAAACACTTTCATCAAATCCTTGATACTCCAGTATTTTCTTGAAATTCCTTTTGTGTTATCGAATTTTTGAAAATGCTTACTGTTTAGCATCTCATATTTTTGTTATCATATCGAGGAAGGGGTGGTAATTTGAAACTCCGAACCCCACTTTGTTTTTTGAGTATTTTAAGAAACTTATTTGACTAATCATCACAAGACTGTATCTTTATATTTAAAAACTTATTAGCTTTTATATTAAAAACTAAATTTATAAAATAAAATCACCCATTATAAGAAATAATTTGCTTTGTAGGAAAAATGAAAAAAATGATTTCGGAGCCCTGGTGCTGGTATTATGGAACCCGGATTCCAAATTACAGGTATGGACTTAATTTACTTGCAAAAATCACATACATAATACTCTGTGTCGCATCCTGAGCATTCAATATGCGCCCACCCCCTGCCTGTTTGACACTGAATCCAAGTTTCACCCTGTTGATCGTTAGAGTAATTTTCAGAACAAAAAATGCAACAGGCGTCATCTTGATTTGTGGGCCGGGTCGGCATCATTTTCTGATATTACAACTTCATCGGGAGGCTGGTCACTGTGCACAAATCTTTGCAAAGTTTTCTGACCGCTATATAGTTTAACTGCTTTTTTCAAATGCATTTTTGTTTTCTCTCACTGCTTTTACAGCTTCAATCATATTAGCCTTAGTCCAACTCTTTCTTTTCAACTTCGGCTTTAGTGACAGCTTAGGTCGAGGTATTACTAGAACTAAGAAAAAAAGTGTTCAATACATTGCGGGTAATTTGGAACTCGGTTCCATATTAGCTGAGCCTATCGGGTTTCAAAATCAAAACCTTACTTTGTGAAAATATAATCAAGAAAATAAAAACTATGTAGTTCAAATAAATCTTAAAACATACCTCTGACAATGTGAACTTATGCATTTATACTTCGTGTAACACCTAGTGTATTTACTTTTAGATAGAAACAAAAGTTTTACAATATTAGGAAATAAAAGTAAAAAACATTTGCAGGTGATATAAAATTTTAACTTCGTATAACATGTTATGACACAATAGAAAAATGGCGTTAGTACTGCTACTAATACGTTCAATGACATCAGTTCAACGTAATTTAATAGCTTTTTAACAAATTTCCTTGTCTGTTCCTGAGATATTAAGGGGTTCCAAATTATCAGCAGGTTCCAAATTACCACCCCTTCCCCCTACTTATTAAGATTTGAGACTTTCTCATATTTTTCACTCTTGAAAACTTTTCTGGCTTTGTAGTTCAGGTTATGATGAACCCAGTGAAGCAAAAGATTTTGTTGAGAAAATTAACTGATATTTAATTAAAAAATCATTTTATTGGTTTTTTGGTTATTTTTTATACAAAAAAGTACAGCATAGATATTTCGCGAAATATACGTCCTCTAGCACATTTGAAGTGACAAGATGTGAAGATGGGCCCCAGATAGATTTCTAATATAGTGTATTATCTACGATGGGCCTCCTGAAATGTCGTATGATTACCGATGCTAAGGTTTTTAATAAACATATTACCTTTGTTGTTTAACTAAATTAAGTCAAAACGCCCTCCTTCCTTTAATTAACCTTAATAAATTTATAAATGTATTTAATACATTTTTTGTAAACTATAATAGTTACAGCATTCTTTCTTTCAGCTGTTTATTAGAATCTGTAACATAGGGAAACTTTGACTTTATAAGATTTTTTAAAATATATGTATTAAATATAGGTACTATTTATATTTATATTTAAAATAAAAATATTCTATTATACCATTTTTTTAATAAATACCACACAATTCCATTAAACGCATATTGTTTTGAGTTTTGACAGACACTCGTGCAAAAATACAATTGACATTTGACAAGTGACATTTATTAAATAGTGAGCTTTGTTTATCATTTGTATGCTAAATAGATATATTTTTTGAACAAAACAATTCATACTTGTATAATAGTGCTTTTATTCCAGTATTTACTATTTCTGACATAAATATGAGCCAAGAAGATATAGATCAATATTCAAACTCTATAAAAAGACTTAAAAATGAGATCACTATAACAGGAATTAGCGAAGAAGAGTTTAAAAAAATGTATTTTCAATCCTTGAATGAATTAAATAGAGAAAGATTAAAGAAATCAAAAAGAAAAACCAAAACCATATTTCTAATACCCATTTTAGTGATTTTTCTTATAACATTAGCATACAATTATAAAATCGTATACAGCTGTTTAATATGTAATATGCAAGAATATATATATCCGGGATTAAGATTGTTAAGAAAGATATCCATTCCATTTGTGGCATTATTTCGATCTCTAACAGGTTAGTGCTAAAGATGAAAATGTATTGGCAATCTATCTATCTATCTTCTATCTATATATATAAAAATGGATTGCTGTTCCTTAGTCTCGCTAAAACTCGAGAACGGCTGAACGGATTTATCTTATCTTAGTCTTGAAATGTTCCTGGAGGTTCAGGGAAGGTATAAAAGCTCAAAAAAATATTAATTTCCGGGAAAACCCTAAAAACAGCTCTTTTCTATTTCCCATACAAATGATTTTTTTGACATTAGATTTGACAACTAACTAATATGTCAATCATTCCGTCGCACTTCAAAACCCATAGATTTATGGCTTACAGGTAAACTCCAAAAATATAAATTAAAAAAAGTAACAGATATTCCTTGATTATAGAGCGATACGAAGTTCGCCGGGTCTTCTAGTTCTTATTAAAAATTTAAAATGTTATTTCAGGATACAATAGAGATACTAATTCATTATTATTCTTATTAATAAATTAGTGTTTATTTTACTATATTTGTTTTTAGTTAGTTTAATACATTAAGATTAGGATATTATTGAATATTCATATAAATTTTCTTTTAGAATTTTATCAAGAGACATGTCTCATACAGAATCCGTTCTTTATGGTAGTGGATATGGATTGCTGGCCATGCAGCTCCATTCATACTATTAGAGAAATCTCCAATCCTTTACCGATTCACACACAACAAAGTGCACCATTCATTTACAAGGTATTTTTGATAACTTTAAAACTATCACTGAAAAATGATTCTTATGATTCATTTAGCATTTCTAATTTTTTACCCCTAAAATTAAAAATAATTTAACATTAAGCTTGTTTTCATAATTATTAAATGGTTTGTTTATTCCTATAAATTTATTATATATTTTTGGTAAAAATTGGTAGTTCTGATTTTATGATAATGTACTGAAAATAGTTTGTATTCTAAGTAGTAAAATCACTGTGTTAATGTTGGGTTTTTGTTATGCAGTAAAATAACATGTAATATTAAATTAAGATTTTAGTAATGGGAAAAAAGTACATTACAATGATATAATTAGTTATTTTCGTGTTTTTCACTATGCCAGTATTTTAAATATATCCTTAGTTGGATTTTATTCATAGATTCAGACATATTGAAATTATCTTTATAAAAAAATCTAACTTTTGTATGAAATATTTACAACAATGAATAGTGTCTTTGAAGGTTAGTGTAAAATATTGTTATATCTTTCAGACCAAACAAAATTCAATAAATTTCAATGATCTAAAAAAACTTTATATAAATAATAAAGAATTATTTGACAAAGAGAGTCCAAAGATATTAGTGAATAATAACTACTATGTTTCACCAAGAGATGTATTCAAGTCTGATTTACAGAACAAAGACTTATTTATTTGGTAAGTTATATTTAAAACAAGCACTCAACATAAATACCTACTTGTAAATATTTGAAACATTTTTTTAGGAAATTTAATAACTTTAATGTAGCAAGGTTATTGAGGCAGATCATACCTAGACCAAAAGTTGTCCCAAAATTTGGTCAAAGTACTGAAAGATTTATTATAATGGATTTTAAACAGGACAAGTATAAAATACCAGACACAGAATGCAACAATTCTTTCCTTCTAACATTACAAGGCAGCAGGATTGTGGAATTGAAACCAGCAGAAGAATGTAAACATGAATGCAAATCATTCAAATTGGAACTTAAAGAGAGTTATTTATGTAAGTATTTAATCAATGTATTTTACAGAGATAAATACATTTTTCATACTTATGCATTTTTATATTTATTAACATTGTTAAAATTTTCAGTATGCTACAATTGGTGGTACTGGAGACCTTTGGTTCAACAGTCAACTAGCAATGAAACATTCATAGCTCATGTTGGATCTTACTGCTAAAATACAAACAACTTTGAGGAACATATAAAACACGTATTATAATTGGTCTAAAATAAATTAACTAAAAATATAAAGCTTATTCAAACTTTTCTTTTAGTTTCTGTTTAAGTAAAACAGGGACTAGTGAAATTAGAGCAAATATGGTCAGAATAGTGACCGAAGTCCAGGACCAGGCATCACTAGTTGAAGTGAGGGTGTGAAGTGTCTGACCAGCTTGGATAGCCACAAACGATGGTGGCGCCACTCCTATAAATGAAAATTAACTCATATAAATGAAGTGTACATATTATGTAAAAAATAATATATGTTATAATTTAATGAATTACATTTTAAATATAATAAAATAGTTAACATAACTATATTTAATTAACTTACCAATAAATGTCCCTAAAGCAAATGGCACAAGAGGAACCCCAATAACCGGAGCAGACATATTGATGAACCAATTTGGTAAAAATGGGGTCACTCTTAAAAATATTATGTAATTAAGCAAGTTGTTTTTGTGTTTTGTCACAGCCTTTGACCATTGTTCTGCCCTTTCTGGGAAGAATTTCCTAACTAATCTTTTTCCTAAGAGATTTGATAAGAAGAAACACAAACTTGCACCAATAGCTGAACAACAGCAAACAAGCACAAGTGCTAGGTAAAATGGAAATAGAAATCCAGACAAAATACTCAGGAATATTGACCCAGGTATTGCAAAAGTTTGTAAACTGATACATTTATTGAGGAATATTATTCATTAAATTAATGTTATGTATAATTATAAAATATTTATAACTTAATATCTAAATAATAAAAGGATACAATATGTACACCATGAACACACCCATTAATACTTCATAAAAGTACTTTTCCTTATATCGATCTAAAACAAGACCTAATTGTTTAGCATCTTCAAGGTCCATAGGTAGCTTCATATGTTGCTTCTCTTCTCTAAAATTATGATTAATTAATCAGTAATACTAGAATTAATGTCTCTTCGGTATGGGCTCAACTTACACTTCTAATTCAGGGAATTGTGAGTATAATAGTCCCAAAGCTGTTAGTGACATCACAAATATAATAGCAACTAGAGTTAAGGCTCTTGATGTAGATAGTCCTACTGCCTTATTTTTAACCATGTTGTGATCTGCTGTAAAATTAACCATAGTGTGATTACTTCCTTATCTAGATTTCAATAAAAATCGATAATATTGACATTTTATTACAGAAGGGAAAATAGGAATTTAATATTAAGTAGAGGAAATAGGTACTTGGGATAGGATAATACAGTCCAATGTAATCGGGTCTTATGTGCCTTATTCTTGGTTTTATATTGGACGTTGATGAAACAAAAGGGTCTTGAACATCACCTTGGTCTTGTTTGCGAGTCGTAGTACTTAAATTCATTGTATTAATTTCGACCTAAATCGTTTTTTTTTATAAATTAAATCTCTTATTTTTATTACAAAAATAATCACTAATTATCCTAGTAAATGCGTTAATACAGGTGCAGGTAAAAAACTAATAACTTTAAATGCAAATTGTTAAAATTTTAATTACAGAATGACTGACTGTAAATCCAGGGACCAAAAGTCACACAAATTACAAAATGATAAAAGTCAAAAACTCTCATTACATCAATATGACATTACATGTCAATGCCAAACAATGAACATTGGCACAGAGGCCATAAATAAAGTAGCTACTGTTTATAACTTATTCTGTGTTTTAATAATTGTTGTTTATTTAATAAATAATTTTATTAAACTAAATGTATAGTAATATTTCTGATTTATAAAGATAAATATAAATATGTATATTGACCGTTCTACATATGCCTTTGTAAGAATTTCTTTACAGATCTTTATAGTGGTTTATCTTGTAAACGATTATTGTTTTAAAGTTATTAATAACTATAGCAACTTTTTCCCTTAATTAAATTTATCAAGGCTCAAAAGGACTTATATCCAAAACCGTAAAAACATTTACAAAAAAAGTTATCGTAGTGACATATTTAGAGAAATATTTATATTATGTTCATGACATTTAAAATATAGCACAATAGTTTAAATTATTATTATTCATATTGATTTCCTTTATCCACAATTTAATAAGTAGGAAAACTATTACTTTGTTTTGGAAATGTAATACAAAAAAAACTATTAGTTTATTCTTTTCTACGATCACAAGTATCTCGATTCTCGACACTTAAAATTTACAATTTTCTGACGATACGTGTTTTTGCATAAGTGGTTATATCTTACAAAATATGTTAATAAGAACATAAATTTATTTTGAAAAAAAAAGATTATAATCATTAACCACGTTTATAGACAATAAATAATTTGTGAACACATTCTTGTTAAGGATTGACGCTTTGTCTACATTTGATACGGATTAATAAAACCATATCAATTGATTCTACGATGTTCATTAGTACCTAGGTATATAATATTATAAAAAATCCTAATATCTAAATAATATTAACATCCATAGTCCTTTGATTCACTTTGAAGAATGGAAAATCATTTAAATATGATATTTTTTAAAATACTAGTTAACGACGTGCCATTTCGACAAAAATACACAAGAACTAAATAATACTAATAACACTTTACCTTCGCAGTTGAATGACTATGATATGAGAAATACAATTCAAACTTAAAGTCTGGAACTAATAATCGTGAGCCCGCGCATTTGATACAACGTTCAGTAATTTACCAAGCGCCTCCTAGTAGGGTCGTGCGCATAGTGTCATCTAACGCATTTACACAATTTATGTAACAATAACTTAGGATAATCATATGCACAGAATGTTTAGCTTGATATAATTGCATAAGTTGATTAAATAACTCAAATTTTATTTATTTCTAGCGAAATATAATCAAAAGATGTGATGTATTAGTGAAAGTTTTAATTATTATCAATAATTTTAGAGATGTGGAAACTTAGAATATCTACATGATTCTAAGCATTGAGGTGAGTAAATAGTTATTTTGTAATTATAGTTACATTTTAAACTTTTCATCATCGATTTTATCCATAACAATAAAAGTAGATTTTATTAATTGAATTCAAACAACGTTCTTTTAAATAGGTCTCCCGTTCTGTTCTAAGAAGTCTATGAGTTAAAGATAAATCCTAGGTAAAGAGCTGTAAGAATTTTGAATATCATGTTTTCGAAATGACTTCTCTCTAATCAGATATTATTGCATAATTTACTAAATAAAATACTTTAAAAATTTAAGGAGTTCTTTTTATCAGTTTGTCATTAAAGTTTATATAAAAACAAATAAAAATGACCACATATAAAATAAGATATTTAGCGTTTTTTAATATGAATATAATAACTTTCTGTGTATCTTTTAAATGTTTATTTTTTTATACCCTATTAACTTATGTTAATATGAATTATTGAAGTGACACAATTTTTTTTAACTTAATTTTAATGTTTCAACTTACTGAATACGTATTTTAATTACAAAAATTATATAAAATATTAGAAAAGTTTGGAGTAATTATTCTTAGCTGTGATCGTCACGTCACACTAACAGTTTAAGTTAGCGTTAGCAGTTTTTATTCATAATCTTCCTAGATTATAGTGTTAACATAGGTTATTAAATAAGAAGCGGGATACGCTTCTTATGTAGTATCACGGTATAAGCTTGGACTAAGAGTACTGAGATAAAAAAATTTGTAACAGTTAATAGATGCTGATGTTTACTTTTGATTCAGGTGATGCGAGTTTTATCCCTGTGGCTACTGGCGTTAATGTTGCCCGTAGCGCTTGGCATGTGCGAGCGTGGTCGGACGTGGTGGCATCGGCAGAAGGGTCTTTGCCTGCCGTGCACCCGCTGCGACCCTCGCCGCCTCGCCGTCCGATACCCCTGCGAACCACACAGAGACACTATCTGCCAGCCACTATATGAAGTCCGGATATGGCCTTTCAGTACAGACAATGACACGGATTACGAATATTACGATTACAGTGACGTGACTAGTGATTACAGTGATGTGAGTGATGACACGTGGGATATTCAAACTTCAACGTTGACTTTGGCTGTTAGTGGTTGCGTTGTGTTCTTTGTTGTTGTCCTGACCTTATCGCTTTATCACGCTAAGCAGTGGCGCGTGCTCAAACAGGCCCTCAAGTCAGGTATGCCGTATGATATACATACAATATTATGACCTACACACAATATTATGATATCCAGACAATATTGCAAGAGATAAGATATTCTTCCGTTTTCGAACTATTATATATTCTTACTCCTCTGAGGAAGCCGTATGGAAGATAGATTTTATCAGCCGCTTTGAAATTTTGCGAATAGTACAATACGACAAGATTTTCGTTATGTGGGATGCTTGGCTCTGACAGATCGGATCCAAAGTTAGGTTTTTCGCTAGTCTCCTTCAGTCTGCAACAGGACCACTTAGTGAGCTAGCCACCCATTATTTTTGTTTTTAATCAAATTTTAAAGTCTATTTGTTTACATTTTCCGGTCTTCATCTCTTTATTCGTAAATCATAAGACGAATTACCGAGGTATTGAAAAAAAATCCTTCTATACTTTTAATTTTTATAGGGCAATGAAATTATTAGAAAGTAAGCAGAAGTCTGGCATTATTTCAAATTGGCACAGTTCCACGATAAATCCGGCTTATGGATATGAAAATATATAATTTTTAACGTAACTGCCTTACTCAAAAAGTATGATGTAGGCGCTTAATAATATTATATTGCTAGTAAAAATTTCAGAGTTATCTCGGATGGGATCGTTCATAACTTTTTCGCTTTTGTGTGAAAACAATAGTCGCAATATATTACATTTAATTAAATATACTAGAAAAAAAAAAAATTTAAAAAATAACGTCAAAACTAAATATTACCCTACACCCAAAACATATAATCCAACAATACTTGTTACGAATACACACTAAGAGTTTATTTATTCAGGACTGTTTTGATATTCGACCTCCATGGTCGATGGCATCACAATTCAAAGTAAATAAAAGCTAATACGACTTAAAATTTTTAGTAAATTTATAAACTGATTTGAATACAAATAACCTACTATGAAGTAGGTACTTTACACAGCTTTTATCAACAGTAACCTAATTGTAAAAACTATGTACATATATATATGTACGTACATGTATGTATGTAACGTACATATGAAACACAAAAAAAACTATCTAAAAATTCCATTCAGCGTAGTCTCGGTGTATAAGGTCCGGCGTCCATCTGCACGCATGTGATGAAACACATAATGAATGTCAAGAGATTAACTATTAACATCGCGTTCTTACTGTGTTACGACCGTTTTGGTACATGCAGTTATGTCAACTTGTACGTCTTGCATATTAACTTGCACTTAATATTTTTATAAATATAAAACAATGATACTATTTTACAACATTGCGTTGAAAAATAAAATATCTTTTAATAAATGAACTTCACTGTGTAAGTTGTAATTCATTTATGATGTCCCATGAAACTATTTTCTACCATCTATATATCCTTCTATTATTTTAGATTTACAATGCGCTTAAGTGCGTTTTATGTATTAAAATTTATGGGCAGTAAATAATTTATCGCTAGTTGAGACGTCGCGGAGCCGAGTTGCAGTTCATTTTTAACGACCGACGAGTACTTGAACATTTTCAGTATAACAAGATTTATAAGCGAATTATCTTTTTAAAGTCTATAAAGTGCATACAGGCATAATTCTCAATACCTTTCGCAGCAAGTATACAGCGTAAGTTCAAAGAAGACATCAACTGTCGACAGCTGTTTTAAATGCAGTTCATACAATTAAAAAACTCGTATCGCTTTTTTTTCAAATACATATATTAAAAATGCACTAAATGTCTAAACTCTAAAAAATACAATTAACCCAAATAATTGCACTATTTAACCAAAGTATACTCGCTCTTAATCCGAAGCCGTCTTATTTTATATTCCACATTGGTACATCATAAACGAAATTCCTAACGTTATTACCACATCCTTAAAATTCACAACACTGTTTTCATATCAAAATATTTTTAAGTAAAGAAGTTTAACAAATGCTTTCCCAAACAGATATCTCTGTAACTATTTATTCAAATGAGAATAAAGTAATAAATATGTCTCGAATCTAACATACAAATAACATCGAAGAAAAATTTATAATGATTGACCAGCTAAAAGAAACAAACGATAAAATTTTGGAGTGGGTTTTGGTTATATTGTTCTGACGCCCACCGCGGCGCCGATCTTGGAAACAAGTTCGTTTAGACTAGCCCACGCCCCACGGAGTGCGTACCACATCGTAAATCCACGTTCGACGCTCCCTGAACTAGGGATTGGAGATAAAGACGGCAACAACGGGATTAGTCACTACAGCTGGCTTAATACTTAAAGGGGAAAAAAAATAATAAATAAAATTTACCTCGTACGTAAAATGAAATTCAGATAGTCAGATTTATAATAGATTTAGAAAACAAATATCAAACATCATATTTTAGAGAAAATAGAATCCGGCATCCCGAAATCCCGGACAAGCACCTGGAGCTCGCACACACTATGCGCCGCCGCAACCCGAGTAAACAATGGAAGTTTGTTTGAACATGTGCACTACTAATTTTGACCTGCGCCCGATCACCATACAACAATAGCTAACGGTGTTTTTTGTTTGCATTCGCTTATACCAAAACCAGTAGCTACATTCAATGGCGAACAGACTGATTACCGTTGTTTTATTAGTACGAGTAGATACAGAAACAATGACCCAATAGTTTACTGCGTTAATTAACAGGACTGGGCTTATTAGATACATCCAAGGATGCCTTGATGTATAACACTAATTAACTATTGAAAGATCTTGAAACGAAATCTCAAATTAGTTTTAGATACCAACTCTTAACAAGATTTTTTAATATATTCTATAATAGTAGGTACATTATGATTTAATGTAAAATACAATTTCACTTCAATGACTATGGTTCATCGATTAACCTAATTAATACTATTGTAACTCAATACAGAATCTATAGCAAAACTTTCACTTTATTGCCTTTCTATTGTGACTTGAATCTAAATCTTCAAATGTAAGGTCATACGTTTTACAACATTTATGCTAGAGGAATAATAAAGGGCCCAAAACGTGTTTCATGTACGTAGGATAACACGAGGTTAATTGGTATGACGCAGGACATACTTTGATGTAAATAGATTTCTAAAAAGGGAATACAATTTCACAATTAATTATCCAGTACCTTTTGTGTGATGATATATGTAATATAATAAGTTTAATATAGTAAAATAATAATTATACTTAATATATTCTAGACGTACAAGACCTATCAGCCAAGCTGAAGTTGGTGGAGGCCGGTGAGTCTCCTCGTGACCCTATACCCGCTGGACATATATACTGCAACATACACGTCGGCAAAGATGCTTTAATGGGTAAGATAATAAGTTTGTAAACAATATTTACATTATTCAAAGTCAACACAGCTTTACAGACAAACATTCCCATAAAAATGACCAATATAGATTAAGAAAATAATAAATTAGTTTAAATATTATTTAAATTAACGAAAATTAAATAACAACATAATATCTTCATACGATTTTAAAGATGCTATTTTAAGTTCTGTTTTGCAATTTAAAAAATAACTAAAGACCTCTGTAATTGTTAAAATATTAATTTTACTTGTTACAGCGAGGACGATATTTTTTTTATACGTACATATATTAAAACAAGTCTTTATATAACAAGTTATCATCCTTACGCTTTGTAATACGATTTAATACCCCCATATACTTATGAGTTATATATATTTTTAGTTGGCTAGATAAGTTTTTTGGGAATCACAGAAATAAGAGTAAACTTTGATCCACATATATTTTGAGATCGAGTCATTTGATTCAAAACAATTTTAAACACCAAACAGGCACATAAAAAGCGAGCGCTTATAAAAAAATAACCAGCAGCGGTTTTCTTAAAATAACACAGCAACGTACGCTTAGAGTAAAAACGATAAACATGTGGAAATAATAAAAGAAAATAATTCCTAAACGGGTGTTCCCTAACCCGTTAGAGGCAAACGCCAGGTCGGCTAGATACTGGCGGAATGCCAGTAGTTGTATCCAGTTAAACGCTCCAAAATAAACAGGCGTGGGTGAATACTGGCTCGCCAATGGTTAGACGAGGACCGGGGTCACATTGTAGGTACCATACACATGGGGTTGTATGAAAATAAAGTATAAATATCAATCATTTTAACATTGAAGGATGAGACTATGCAAGATATCCAGTGTTAATGTTGGAAGATGTTGATCGGCCGTTTATGTTATTCAATTAAACAATGTTTTATATCGAATAGAAATTTTAAGAAACTATGAGACAATAAGTAATTGATTATAATTTAAAAATATGTTTATAGATCACCATAAAAATAAAACAATTATTTTTAATTATGTAGTATGGAATAAGTAAACTTAGGTATATGTTTTGTTGATGAGAAAATGAAAAATGTATTGCAATTTACATATTACAAGACTATGTATTTTAATAGTCGCTACTGTTTTAACGAGATGAGAATTCTTATTAATAAAAACTCAAAAAAAATCATCAAAATGCAGCTACCGCAGGCAAATCGTCTATTTTATTTTGACATACAAACTATGTTCTATTCTTACTAAACATATTTTATTAAAAATTGTTGTCAAAGGAGATTTGCTTACAGTATTTCCAGTTTAAATATAGTCTTATGTAAGAGGATAATATTTTTTAAGTTTGGAAGGGAAACCAAATACATTACAAAGAAATTAAATTAAAGATTAGGTACTATCTAAAAATAAAAATCATGTTGTTAATTATAACAACGCACATAATTCTTCTTTTTCTACCTGGCAATTTCCCAGCTTTAGCCAGGATCTGCCTACATATTTCTTCTTATCTTGTTAAAGTTCATACAAAACATATATTAATAATGGTTTTTGTTAAAAATATTTGATGATTTAAATAGAATTAATTACATCGAACTTACCAGAAAAATCTTGTAAGCATGATAAGCAAAATCTCAAAACCAATTAAATTTCGAACATCTACAAAAACGTTATTAATGTCCAATTTTCGCAGAATAAAGACATTGACCTTATTAATAAAAAAAATCAATAGAACAAAAATTTATATAAACGCTAGCTCACACAGCAACAAAACAGAACACACGTGCGTATCACTCGTAATTTATAATTCAAGCGTAACCACGCCGCTTCCGCCCTTAGGTTTTCACTAGCCGCCGGGAAGCCTCTCACTTCCTGCTTACATTTTGACAATCATTAAATATATATAAACATTCTTCATCGATTTATTGGTTTATTGAACTGATTTCATATATGACGTCCATTGTCCATAGCTCTTTCATCTTTAATTCAAACAAATTTCTTAAATAGATGAGTTTAGAATGCTTGGAAGTTTTTTTAACACTTATGATTCTTCATCTCAAGTCTAAACAGTAGTTCAATCTATTACATGTTAATACAAGTACCAAATGTGGGCTCGAGCGGAACAGTGTCTAATAAAGTAATAGAGATCTTCATATTGGGATAATAATAGTTACAGCACTCATGTATTCTTCTGTTTCGTATAAACTACACAATATATTGAGATTAGACCGACGCTTGTACATTTTGCTCCACATTTAAACTTATATTTAGTTCATAATTAATCTGTTTCATATAAAAAGTAGATCAAATTATAATAATATTGTTTAAATAAACAAGACATGCCGACGAACGTATAGCAGGCGCTCAGCAAAACATATTTCCTTGAATTATTGTAAACAGTACGTCATGAAAGAGCTTATGATTTGCTTTTGTTAAAATTAAACACAGATTCAGTTGAAAACTTAATATGATAAACACGTTCTAAAAACTATTTACCTACTTATTATCAAGAATTACTTTTATAAATTAATTCAAGAAATAATTTTACACATGAAAGGATATGAAAATAAATGTATTTTTATCTCAACGGTTGATTACATCTTTCGAGAGCATCGTTAGTACAAGTTTGTTTCGTTACACTATAAATGGATTATTTGAAGTTTTTCATTCAGATGCCTTCTTATTGACGAAGATTTAAATGAAAAAGTGGAAACGCTCCTTATGTAATGTCACAAATATTACAAGAGGAAATTGTAAACTACTATACTTTGTTCTTACAAACTTACACTATACTCAAACTCATATAAAAGTTCTAAGTAAAAATTCAAAAAAATAAAAGTGTGATAAAGTTCGTGTTTTAATTAATCTTGAAACACAGAAATGGGTTGTTATTTTTTTTTCAATTAGAAATAAAAGAATAAACCTACCAATTGTTAACATTTTTAGTGACATCAAGAAACCTGATTGCATAATAGACTCGAGTTGGAGACAGTGCAAAGGAAATCGTGCTCACGTTTATCTTATATAATCATTATTATTACATCACCAAAGTTTTGTTATATCAATCAAAATTCGTACTACTTTCTTTTTACCTACTATTATACTTTTATTCGTTTCACCTATTCAAAAACTAATTATAAAATTTAATTTATTATTTGAATGTTAAAAATAATACGTATCCAGGGTAAAATAATCGCTCAGACGTAGCTGCGGTGGGCGATTAGTTTTTTAATCCCAAGAAATAAACTGAACAAGAGAATCATTGAACTCTCATTTATTATTCATCACGATGTTCCCGCGGCCTCGAGGTTCGACTTAAGGGAGATTCGAACGCGCGTCGCTCTCATGCAAGCGTGAAGGATTGATTTAGGCGTGTCGTCACGTTCTAACTACTATACAAGACACATTTTTTATGCAAATCTATGGCGGTAATATTTTTAAATAGATTATATATTTTAAATTATAACCACTGTAGCTTTTCTACGGAGCTAAGCCGTAACTAAATTTATATTATATTTAAGTCTTTATTCATTAATCTCGAAATACGTTCCTTGTGCCGACGATTTATGTACGAAAAAATTTGAATCGTCAATCATATACCATATTCATCATATTCAGAGCATTTAGCCTTAGGAATCGGTAAAAAAATATTTACAAAAAACGTTACTGTAAGAAAATTAAAATATGTTAGCATGAATGTTAAACGTGTTGGGGTATTAAGGGTGCAATCATAATATATTAAAGCAAGTCACGTTAAATCGTGATCGTGGTTCACAAACACATTATGTCAACGAATTTACTATTAGGCTTAATGCGGGTTTGAATTCAATGTAAAATTTTATAGCTTTCGATTTTTTACTATAATCGTTATTGCGACACGAATCATCTAAATTAATGGCCCTATAATTTTTTAACTATTACTTTCATTCTATACAGATGAATTTAAACTTATAAAAATACTTAAAAATATGTACCGAACAAATAAAAAATTCCGCAAAAGGAAATAAAATTTACAATTCTTTACAGGCCATAGCAGATATTGGATTTATGTGGTTAAATAAAAATCTGAAAAAAAAGTCATAGAAATACAAAGGGAAGTAGAGGTAACGTGCGTCACGATTCATGACGGGCCCAATTTCACTCGCCAGGAAACGACCAGAGAGCTTCCCTTCAAGATGTTTACGGAGTCAATAATAGACTTCATCCAATCTCAACCGTTTATTGGCGATCAATCATAAACGCCGAGCATTGACGCACTTCATAAACAACGATTTACGATAACAGCTGTTGTAAACGACGCACCACACTAAAATCATGTTCCGAATAAACGTTTGAGTGCAATTATCCCATACATCCAATAGCATTTAACGACCTCAAAAATATAAACTTCTTGGGCGTCAAGTTGTTGTAGTACGAGATGGGAATTTTAATATAACTAATTAAAAATCAAACAAGCATCTTACAAATGAGCGCTTCGTTTCTAAACCGTACCTCTGGTCGCCTGAGAAACCGATTCGCTGGTTGCCGTGTACAGAATTATTGAATTGTGAATTTCCTTTCCTTTCCGGGGTGCGGAAGTTAGTTCATGTGTCTTTTTAACATGCGAAACGTCTTATAGCTATCGTCGGTAATTGAAAATCAATAAGTACTTATCGATCACAACCAAAATGTTCGAATCATGTTCAGAATTATTTAAAAACTCGTAACGTCCAGAAATAGAATGTTAAACTTTGTGTACTCTTTCAACATTAAAACAATATTGACGACTAAAAACACCACACATATTAATGTCGAATATATTATATAATTCTAGAACATTATTACGAGAAATTAAGGGTTTAATTTAATTATACAATTAATTAAGTAAAGTCATAGTGAATAGTAATTTAAAAATCAAATAGATGTGTGTAGGAATAGCGTAATACTAATAATATGAATAAAATGACGGTGGTCTCTTACGTAAATGCAACAGCTAGAACGACTAGTGCATAAAAATACTCATTATATTGCCGTGCACGTACCTTTGTACTGCAGATCAATAAGTGGGTGTTGAGAACACGATTATAGATACAAAATTATAATCATATATCAGCTATATTCTATCACTAAATAAGAAGTAGGTATTGTCTATTCGCTGATAAAAAAATTGATGGCATGTCGGTCTTTTACAATGGTCAAAGAAATAATAATAGTGGATTATGTTCGGAATCACAAAATGTAACTTATTAGTTGCTGACAAGATTAGAAGTTTTTTAAATACAGTTATTATAATTAATTTCAGCTCTTAAATGCTTTTTACATAAACAACATAATAATTGTAAGGTTATATCAATGGTTCTATTTAAAAAAAAAATTAAGAACATTATTTTGCTATATTCTAATTTCATAGTCAAAGTCATCTGAAAAAATGTATAATCAGGAGATACTCTATATAATTTATTATTTCTTTATCAGGAAATATCAAACAAAAAACGGAAGCAGTTATAAAGTCAGGTGTTGATTAAGATTATAATTTGTTTATTGTTACTTACTAAGAAAACAATGCCGGGAACCTGCTTTGAATATATTATCATATCTGATATTTCATAAACAAATTTTGAGTATCGAAACTCATCATTTAACTAAAACGTTCTTTTGCTACTATTTCGTATAGTCTACAGAATTTTATTACGTACATACCCAATCCTAAAATCGGCGCAATATTATAACAGATAAAAGAAAACAATTCTATACTAGATTCGATAAATGGCCCTTGAATATCAATCATTGCGAGAGAAAAGTATTACTTTGTAAGCGACCCCTTACAGTGCTTTAAATATCTCGCTCCACTCAGACAGACGACAAATGATTTATTATGTTTATGCAGCGCGTCCCTGACTCAAAGTCGCTGATTGTAAAGTAAATTTTAAATTGTTCGTCTTGCACTCCAGACGGCACAGCCGTTTGAAGGTTAACTCATATTCAAATAGCACCCATTAGATAGAAAACTTCCTGGAAATCCGAACTAAAATAATATCGGCTAGCACGTTCCTGCACACGCCATCTCTGTTTATAAACATGTCGCCTTTATGGACAAAACGGTTGTATAAATAGGAATACATTAGTTGTTTAATATATTATCTTTCTAGAAAGTACAAAACTTAAATGCTTAAATATTATGCGGACTTGTTAGTTGTGGCAACGTCGCGCTTAAGAACGTTAAGACTTAAGAGCAAACTCGCACTTGTAACTCCACTATGTTCCGCATAACTATATTCCAACTATATCCATACAGCAGCAGTTTTGATTTCCGAAGTTTTATAGTTACGCGAATAGCAATAGCAGCTGTTTGTAATTTTGAATTCCATGGACGCCACGCTCATTAAATTCAAATACGGTCACCACAAACCGCAATCAATAGGTATATACGAAAAAATATTCAAATCAAATACAATTGTGTACTAATAATTATGTTGTTCTTTCAGGCACTACGACGAAGAATTGTTTGGGGAATGTCTACACACAAGAAAAACACACACCATGATATAAAATAACCAGCAAGTACAAAAAATAGAACAACCTCGCACATGACATAGACAAGAATTTTACGAAGTATTTTTTTATCGAAATATATGTATTACAACTAAAGCGTTTATTTTACTTAGGTCTTTTTTTATTTTTTCGTAAATGGGAAAAGTTTTCAAACTAGGTATACAGTATTTCTAGTGTTATATTTATTCACCGTTGTAGTCATGTAACTATTTTGATTGATAAATGGTTATCTTTTAAAATACCAAAAGCGTAAAGTGGGAATTGTATTGACACTACTTCTACATATAATGTAAATTATTATAATATGTACTTAATAAAATCTCACAGAATGCAACGTGTAAGAACATTTAAGTGTTGTATGAAAGGAACCGGTTGCCCTTTGTTATGCCTAAGGTTAATGGTTAACTGCGCTTGTGCTACTAGACTTAGATGAATCACATACGTTAATAATATACTTGAAGTAAAGAATCTTCATCCAGAAATTTCCTTTTGGTTAAACCTCATTTCAAATCTACAATTAGTCTGACGGAGTCAAAACTCCCTTTCCAATATGTTTTTTGGAAACATAGTTAATACGGAGTCCCGTAAATTGTTCAGAAAAATTTAATAACATTATTAGATCAGACTTATCATAGTAACCTCCAATGATAACAAGTATTGTAGTAGAGCAGTGTTTACATAACTCAATAAAACAGATGGTAAAATAGTTAGCATTCGAGTAGCAATATCTCGAATAACTATTTTTTTTGTCTAAAATATTTTAATATGTCACAGTTATCCTCTACATTCCGCCGTAGAAGAGCGTCTTCCGCCGGTTGATCTGTAAATAGATTTAGCGGCACTTCCTTTACGAGGCGGCAAAAAATAAAACTATTTTAAATGATGCTCATACTACATCACTAGAAACCTACTAAAGATTCACATAATTGCAAGCATTAGCCAATCACAAGGGATTAAGAATTAATTATACAAAACTGAATTTATAATTTCTTAATCTAAGTTAAACGTACCTTAATAAATAGAACTACCAATACCTATTTCTACTTATTTCAATAAAATCTTTTCATATGATGACTAGCGTACTCCAACGTTGAAAAGATTATTATTAGTGTCTTCTTCTTCTACCTGGCAATTTACCGGCTATAGCCAGGGTCTGCCTTACATGTTGTGAATAGTTTTGGCTAGTTAATTGTGTATGTAAATTTAATTATTATTTTTTATTTTTCTCTTAAAGTTTAATTAATCAAATCTTATTAAAGCTAACAAACATTACTATTTTTTCAATGATTTAAGTTACTTAGTGTAAATGTCATCACTTTTTTGTTTCTTAGTGGCGGGACTTTTTGTAAATTAATCACAGATAATAATTTTGTATCTTAATGATTAATTGTGTGATATGTCTGTTCATCCTATTTTGTAGACTATGTAACTTCGCTTATAATGCAATATTTCTTTTTAGCAATTCAAGTATGAAAATTGAGGATAAGGTTGGGTAAAATAAAACAAAATTTATTTTAATACTATATATTATCAATATACGTACTTACCTCAACTAGAAAAGTCGGGAGTAAAATAAGTATTTCATTAGGTATATTAAATTACATTAAAAACTACTTATCAACATTAAAAACGTACCTTATATATCAAAAATAATAATTTACTAACAAACATGAAAATAAGTGCTAAGAATTGGTATTATATTATCATCTAAGTTGAAAGTCCACACATTACATATAATAACGCAGGATGCAGTGTCGTTCAATCAAAAAAAGAAATTAAAATACTTTAAAACTATATTGAATTACAATTCCAAGAACATTGGTCCATACAAAAATCACAATCTACTTAATTCTACAGCAGCAATATAAAGGTTCACAGTCTTCAATCAGTGTGATAAAAGCGGAAGACGATATTTTAGTTGACTTGAACACAGGCGGCAAAAAATAATACATTAGTTTTAAAAGTAAATGACCTTGGGGTATATTGTTAATAAATATAAAACACTGAATTATCGCTGTTAGCTTTATGACACTGACATTTGATGGTCGTTAGAGCAACACAAGAGGTATTACGTACAGATTAACACAAAGTTTTATTCAAATTGGATATTGTTAATTTTAAAACTACCTAAATAATGGTCCCACGTCTTAATACAAGTTCAGTAAAAACTAGATCTTATTTAGTATATCGTCGTATAAAATGCAACCTTCATTTCAATCTCTTGAAACTTAAGCTAAACTTGTAAATAAATGCAAAATTTCTTCGAGATTCGGAATTTATCTTCCTAATATTTACCACAAATGACATAACACTATAAAATCAGTTACGGAAGCATCTCAATTTTTTTTATTACAACCAATTTAATAACTTGAGATATAATTAGAATATGTATACAGTCTTAAAGTTTTGTTCCTAACCTTTTATGACACATATTTTTTTATATAACTGGCTGGTCTAAATTACACCACATACTTCATGTTAGGAATTCTTTCATTAAATTATAGAAAACAAAAAAATTATCCCCGGATATAGTATTTTGCAGAATCTATATAAAACCTTAATAGTTATTTCAATCCACATGATATAAACTATAACTCATTTTTTTTTTCTAAATCTTAGATTTAATACAATTAAATTTATTTTATAGCCTTCGTTGCCAAATATGCATTACGTTAACCGCCATGACACAAATCCTTATTATTAAAAACGACGATTTAGTAAGAAAAAAAAACTTTAAAACATTCGATATTCGATTTGATTCTAATGTTGATCTTCAAGTGTCTAAACGTGTGTGGTAGTTCTTAAAGGTATTAAAACATTTTCGTTCGACATACATGGGTTTATACGACATACTAGTATCATGCACGTGTATCTGCTCGCGGTCTGTCGGCGGGACGGGCGGCCGGGGCGGTGTATTCAGAGACGGGGAAAAGTGGTTTTGCTTCGATAGAGGAAACGTTGTCGTACCTGAAAATAAAAATTATGATACACATACTTAATCTAATATTTTTCGAATTATTACGAGTATTTTATTATTTTAAAAACTACATACAACCAACCATACTACTTTGCAGCAACATAATAAGATGAGGGTAGTAATACGAGAAATATTAGTTTCATTTAAATGAATACCCGCGAAAGTCATAGATCTCATTATTATATACTTATGTTAGTTCCATACTAATTTATCATTTTTTTTATAATTCAAAACGGCAATGAGTAACTTTCAACCGAATAATTAATCAAATAGATGTGTTATTATAACAACTACTTATTATGATTAACTGAATATTTTTTTCGTTGTTTATTAACAAAATGGTAATAAAGCTGAGTGAAACCTATTATTTTATAATACTACTTAAAACAAACGAACTTATTGTTCCCGTATTTATCTGGTATAGCACGGTAGGGTTGGTGTGGTGCGTGTGCGTGTGTGCGTCCCAGTTCCTTCATGGCCGGCTGGAGCTCGGTTAGAGTATAACCCGCCGTGCGAGCGAGACTCGCCGGCCAGCTGACCTCCGCGCAGTGTGGGTCATCGAGGCTGTGGCGGTGTGAGTGATCACACATCAGCGCGTGGCGTGCCGTGGCTAATGAAGCAGCAGCTATCAAAGACGCTCGATATTGCAAGTAGGGCTCTGCCTCCAGAAGTGATAACTCCGAAATGTACTGGAATATAAAACAAATATTTATATATACATATATCGTTATTATTCATATTAGATAATAAGAAAAATCCACCTTCAGAACCAATTATACAAAATATAGGCATAATTTGTATTAATGAATGAATGATTCTAAAATTTTAAATAAGGCTACTGTTATACATGCTTTAAATAAGCATGCTATTAAAGCATGCTCAATACAAGCATGCCTGGGAGCCGTTCACATTTGCGGGCAATAAGCATGCTTAAAAAAAACGTTCCACGTGCTTTTTAAAGCATGCTTTTCTCACTCTCTGTCAGTTTAAGCAAAGTCATGGATAATCAAATAGCTAACTGTATCGAGATTAATAAGGTCATGCTTTTGACGACGATGCAATTCATCCAGATATATCAGGTCGCCAAAAAAATAAAAGAAAGAGAATGATTTGGGTCCGTATTTGGATATCGAGAAGACAGGATTTGGGAGCAAGTGCTCAATTACTTATAGAAATACGAGGAGACGATGTTCCATCTATTGCAGTTGACTGATCGGCACTTGCATGTTTAATAAGCAAACGTGTTTTGACGTGCTTAAGGCACGGCCCCCTTGCACCCGCACCTCTAGAAGCATGCTTAAAAATCGGACACCTGTCGATTTGAAAGCATGCACCAGATAAGCATGCTTATTTTCAGCAACACTTGGACACACATGCTAGTAAACAGCATGTGCTCATTTAAACCGTGCTTTCGGGCTTGAAATAAGCATGTGTTACAGTAGCCTAACTGACCATTAATATTCATTGATCTATTAAAAAAAATGGTAGTAAATAGACACGTAAAACTTATACTTGCTACTAATGAGCTGGACAGTTAATCAAATGTCCCTTAGTGAGTTATTGCTCTTAATAAACAAGTTAATAATAACAGACTCAATATAATTCTTTAATTAACATTTTTTCATCATACTCACAGCAGCCAAATTGAAGATCTTCTTTGATATACTATTTGAGATGCAGTAGTGTGACAGGAATGCCAGTGATGTTGGTGTAGAGAGATCAAAGGAGAGCACTTTTAATATCAAGTGTTCCATTCTTAACACTTCACGTTTGGTGTAAGTATCATCTGTTATGTAGACAAATTCTGACACTTCTGGTGGATATACTTCTTCATATTTCCTAGTGGAGAGAGGTCTTATTAAAATACTTGTTTCCATATATAAAACTAAACATAAAAGTTACACTTTCATGTTAAACATATAAATCTATGCGACTTTATTTTGAATATTCATTCAAGCACAATATCATAATCAAAATATGTTTAGTTTGAGAATATTACACCAATAATTCATTTGTAATTTATGAAATGGCTTCAAAATAATTTATGAGCAATTTAATATGATCTAAAATCTATGTTGTCAAAATAATGTTTATAATAATATATCAAATTCTTTTAAAGAATACTTTTATCAAATGTCCTAAATAAAATTTGTAAGTGTCAATATGAGGTCAAGATTACTAACTTAAATCATACAAAAGTGATTAATATAACTTAGATAAAGAAAAAATATATATTATACTGAATTTAAACCATAAATAAACTAAAGCCATTAACATTAGAACTTCCAATCAAATTAATTTTCTCATTTTCTTTCAGCTTTATTTAGCTAAGTTAAGACAGATTGTTCTGATATATTTTTATTTAAATTCCATAACACTTCATGCTAAAGTTATTCAAATTCACAAACCATTTTTAAGCAAATCAACATTGATAATTAGAAATAATTTGTTATCCAATTAAATTATTATTTAGCCCAAATTAAGCAATTCCAAACATAAGTAATTATTATATTAACTCACGCTGCTATATAAGTAGCCGCTGTGCCAACGAGTTGGAGTTTAGTTCGTACCACACTCATATAAGACAGGAACCGATCTACATAAGACACAGCCAGGTGGAGGGTCTCGCTTTGTTGGTTATACTCATCACATACTTCTACCAACCAGTCTACTAAGATCGAACGCATGCTGTGTGTTATGTCCGGCTGTTTGCGCATGTAACGCGGATTAGCACGGTTCTTTATCTGGTGAAACAATATACATAGTTTTATACTGTTATATGTTATAGTTTTGAATATGTATAGAGTACCTCGTTAAAGTTAGGTTAGGTTGGCTTAATAATTTTAGATGAAATTCTATGTTTAGTTAATAATATTATACATTTTTAAAAGAGTAACAATGTTATCATTTGCACTGTGAACATATAATGTCAAATACATTTAGGAACATGAGCATTTTCTTATTTATGTTAATAGTTAACAATAGTTACAAAAAATACTTCATATTATACACCTACTTGTTACTACAATATACATTTATACCGTCATAAATATGTAAAAAGTATAATAAAATTTTAATTGTATTGTTTATAATCAAATTTTTCTTACCTCGATTTCTCTCATGTAATCATATATATCCTGCCTATACTCAGCAACATGGAAGAACATCTCACGATCAGTCTGTGCCTTCGTTGTATTTGCATCTTCATCATCAATGATCTGACTTTCATTGCGGGAAATAGACATAGACAGGATGCTCGAGTCAACAATGGACATGGGAGATTCATAGACATCTTTCTTAGATTCTTTTGGAGGTCTATAATAATTATTACAATATGTGAAAAAGTATTTATAACAATGAACTAATTCTATATATGTAAAAGAAAAACAAAGTACTATTCAAGAATAACAGTTAATAGATTTTGTCATCATTTTTAAAGATTAACTGTCAAATAACTAATAATTATTGCAAAAAAGTATTGAACAGATCTATAATCTAAAACTTATAAATTAATTAAAATACTACTGCTAGTAAGTCTATAATAAAGTATAATAAAGGCGTGATAAATACAAAACATAATAATTTATGTTTTTTTTTAATATACCCCCCACAGTGAGTTTATAATGTGTTAATATAAATTTCTAGGCAGTTATAAATAAAAATGGAATATGTAGAATTTTACAAATACTTACTGGACGGTAACAACTTCTTTAACCTTTTCTGCCTGCTTTTGCTTTTCCACTTGAGCACAAAGTGCTTTAACGTTCTCTGCAGCATTTAAAAAGAAATTATCTTTTTTAATCTCCTTCGCTACAAAAGGTTTGAAGGGCTCCCGCTTTTTAACTTCAACTTCTTTCGGTTTATCTTCGTAGACACTGAAGGCGCGAAATTGAGCCACAGGGGGTACAATGTTTTTTTCATTTTTAATCTGGCGCACTGTTCTATTCTCATCTTGAACTTTGCAAGGTCCATTCGTCAGGGTCTAAAATACAAATAACAATCAGGCCAACCTACTCTATTAGAAGACCATAAGAAACAATTTACTTACGTTTTTTATGTTTCGATTTTGATTGCAAGCAAACTGACTAAGATCGCCGAGAGCACGACGTTGTGAAGCAGCAGAGAATATTTCTGCATCTTTTCTCAATCCTAATGAAGTATTTTCTTGATCCTCGTGAATTCTAAACGATGCCATCGTCCAATCCTGCCTCAAACTTAACGATTAACTTATACGGAACAATGCGCGTTTGACTGCAGAGAAAACCACCAATGGATGAAATAAGTTAGAGAAAATTCACGAGGACCACATTTTCTTAAAATAGAAGTGAGTAGTTTCAAATCTGTGCTGTTAAAAAATCGAAAACACCCTCAAAATGCTAACCAGTGTCAACGGACAACAGACATTAAGACTAGTTCAGCTGTTGCAGTTTACACCGCTCTATTCTCTCTGTTATTTTAAATTTCATCCAATGAAATGATGGCGGCAAAATCTATAAGTCTATGGTGAAACGGTAAAAATTAATTTAAAAATTGTTAAACGTTTAATAAAGAAAATATATTTTTATATTTGCTTTGATTATATACTGTGAAAAATCTAAAAACTACATATACAACAAGTTATAATTTTGATTGTATTTTTTTTAGACGTCTTAAAAAGGAAGGATATTCTTCATTCGACTTTATTTCATATATTTATATAAATTTTTAAAATAAAAAATGAGTATAACCAAAATTGGATTATAACAAGAAATATATAATTTAATGCAAAATAATAAAAGTTCTTTTTAATGTACTATTAATATTTCATATTGGATTAACTTTGGTAAAACTATTTTTTTGTAAAATATTAATAATTATAAAAGAAGTTACGAAAATAATTTTTTTTCGCAGTCGTCATTATGAATATTAAAATAAATATTAAAATTAGTTTCAAGCAAATGGTAGACCGTAGATAATAATTAAGGACATTGACTAAATAAATATGCGATGTGACATTGACATAAAAGTTTGAATGAAACTTCACTAGTGTGTGGCTATTTGTGACGTGCTGATAGGTAGAAGTATGGAAAGTGTATAATAATTGCTGAATGATTATCACTGAAAAATAAAAAATTATCATTTATTACCTCGGTTGCTTGAGATTTGGAAGATGATATTTAAACATTAAGCTTACAAATAATATATAAATTGTTGTACTTTCATATTTATTTATTATTTAATAATATTTAAAAGATGAATAAATTTGTATTTTCGCTCTTTATTGTATTCTTGTTTAATTGCGATATATGTCACACAATACGTGAATATAGTAAAGAAGATGTTTATAAGTTAAGGTAAAACATACATTGTGCGGAATATAGATATAAAAATATTGTATAATGAAACCATATACTATTTCAGAGAAGAAGTAAAAGAAATGTTCCAACATGCGTACGACAGCTACCTTAGATATGCATATCCATATGATGAGTTACGTCCTCTAAGTTGTGATGGGATGGATACTTGGGGCAGTTATTCTCTCACCCTTATAGATGCATTGGACATGCTCGTCATCATGGGGAATTATACAGAGTTCAACAGAGTGGTTGATATAGTTCTAGAGAAGCAGAACTTTGACACTGACATCAATGTATCAGTATTTGAGACTAATATAAGGATCATTGGTGGCTTACTTAGTGCTCACCTTTTATCATACAAGTGAGTTAAAAACATAACTATATTTGGAGAAATTTTTATCATAACATGTTATTCTGTGTGATAATATATCAATTATTTATTCATCTTAAGGATCTTAGATAAGAGTGATTTTTTTAAAACTCTAGATCTGGTATGAAACTTGAACCTGGTTGGCCTTGCAATGGCCCCTTACTTCGCCTTGCGGAAGATGTTGCTCAGAGGCTCATTGCTGCCTTTGATACAACAACAGGAATGCCATATGGCACTATTAACTTGCGATCTGGGGTCCCACCCGGTGAAACAAGCATAACATGTACCGCTGGTGTAGGAACATTCATTGTGGAGTTTGGCACTTTAAGCCGACTAACTGGCGATCCTTTATATGAAGAGGTAACTTCTATAGTGGAAGGAAATATGATTTGAAAAATTATCAGAAATTATATGGTGTTATATTTGTGTATACTCAGTAAACACTTGAATGTCTTTATTTAGTAATTTTACTTTAATTAGATATGATATTTAAAATGGCTACAAAATTTTGTATATCGAAAACAAACTCTACATTTGAAGTTTAACTATGTTAATGTATTTTATTTTATTTAATGTTATCATTTGTCTTATTTAAGTCTGAAATTATTATAAAATCAAAAATTCAGATACATAATTACATTGTTTTATATTTAAGGTACTATGTAATTAAGCAACTAGTGTTATTCTAGGTTGCATATAATGCTCTGAAAGCCTTGTATCACCACAAATCTCCGATAGGTCTTGTGGGTAACCATATAGATGTGATGACAGGCCGTTGGACTGCTCAGGATGCTGGCATTGGGGGCGGTGTGGACTCATATTATGAATATTTGGTAAAAGGTAAAACAAGTTCAATCAAAATTTAACATATTTTTGATGGCAGATCTAAGTAATTAATGGAACTAATTGTTTCGGATCATACTATGCATATTTTATTATTGTAAAATTAATATACACTGTACATTTCGGTTACTTTTCAGCAACCATGATCATGTTCACATGAGATGTAATGAGCAGTGGCGGCTGTACCTTAAGTGCACTCGTGCGCTGAACCACCAATTCAAAAGATTTAAAAATTACAAAATATTACTTCATCTTTATTTTTAAATTAACATTTTAATATTTATTTTTTAAACATACAAAAACGTATAAACAATTAAATTTCCTTATTATGGTCAAAAAGTTTGAGCGCTTTACTAAACTCATATCGTGCGCTTCGGTGAGTGCACGAGGACTGCCAATACATCTTGTATGAGATACGCATTAATACGCCTGGCGCGTGAGACAAAAGATAGTTCATAGAAATGTACCGAGTAATGAGTCGGTTCTCGAGCGCCGCACGAGCGGCCGAAGATTACCGAGAGCACCCGATGTATGACGAATTGAGCCTTTTTTGACATTTCGTTATGTTTTGTTGCATTTTAGTAAAGTGCACCACCAGTTCTATTACCCACCAGCCGCCACTGGTAATGAGGCAACTTTTTTCAACTGTTATGATAATTTAATTATATTTGTGTATAAATTTGATCAAAATTGGTCACATACTATCTCAAGCAGTACATAAACAGCTGCATATTAATACAACTAATATTTTTATTACTTGTCAGTCTCTATGAGGAGGAACAAAAAGATGTCACCATTGAGATTACTCCTTAACATTTGATATCATGAGTTATTGATGGAATGAATGCCCAATTTCACTTTCTTATTACACCACAATAAAGTTGTATTCCAAGTCAAGAAGTATGCGTACCAAATTTCATTTTGTTCAATTCCAGTCAAAAGTTATGAATATTTTACCTATATAATATACACTTTGCTACATTTCTTTTGGTTTATAGTTCACTATATTTTCCAGGTGCTATACTGCTGGAGCGGCCAGAATTGATGTCTATGTTTATGGAGGCGAGAGTCGCCATAGACAAACATCTCCGTAAAGAGGACTGGTATGTTTGGGCCAGTATGTTGCGTGGACACGTCACTCTGCCAGTCTACCAGTCGTTGGATTCATATTGGCCTGGATTATTGGCCCTCACAGGTACTATGAATATTCGTTGGTATAACTGTTGCTTATTTACCAGCTTATTACAACTTATAAAGTCGAGAGCTTCATCTGAAATTTTAACACTAATGCGGATATTATGAGCAGAAGTTTACAGTTCCAGGTGTAAATTTATTAGAACTAAGCTGATATAATAAAATTCAACAATTGTTAAGATTTTATGTGAAATCACTACTCTCGACTTCCAACAGTGATGTTATGAAAAAGTATCATATAAATGGAAATGTTTATAAAAAATTCTATCTAGTTCGATCAGAAAACTAAAGATTTGAATTTTACTTTAATAAATTTACTATTGTTTATTAAATGTATATGTACTTTCGAAGAGTATTGGGACACCTCACACCACTGACAGACGGTGAAGGAAAACATCGTGATGAAACCTGAACTCATAATTTGAAATTAAAAGTTTGATATCGTCAATCCGCCTTAGACGAGCGTTACGATTAATGCTCTAAACTATCCATATGAGAAATTACCTTTGCTCAGCCGTGGGCTCCGATAGGCTGATGATGATGATGTAAGTCTTCATAAGAAAATTTAATTTCAGGTGAAAGTGATACAGCTATGCGTATCATTCACAACTATCACAGTGTGTGGAAGCAGTACGGGTTCACTCCAGAGGTTTACAACCTGGGTACTGGCGAGGCATCCACTACCAGAGAGAGTTACCCTCTCAGACCAGAGCTCATTGAATCCATCATGTATCTGTACCGTGAGACACGAGACCCTATCCTACTTCAGATGGGAGAAGACATATTGAGGAGTATACAGCACAGCGCCAGAACACCCTGTGGTTATGCCTCGGTATGAAACATGTTCAGTAAAATTAAACCGATGATCAACTAATTATTACATTTTATATCCTACGTTAGGGCATATGATTTTATTAAATTGTCGCAAAAAATAAAATCTTTAGTAAATTTTTATGTCTTATATATAAAATTCTCTTGTCGCGGTGTTAGACAGAGAACTCCTCCGTAACGGCTGGAGTGATTTTGATGAAATTTTGTGAGCATATTGAGCAGGTCTGAGAATCGGCCAACATCTATTTTTCATAAACCTAAGTAATAAGGGTTGTTCACCATTATATTTTTTTTTCGGGCAAAATTTTTGGTTTTTTTTTCTATAATGTAGCATTAAAAAATACTGTATACAACCCAAAATTTTATCACCAACCCCTATTGTTTTATATGGCAAAACAACGTTTGCCGGGTCAGCTAGTACTAGTATAAGTTTATGCTAGTTTATTCGTTCTTAAGACTTAAGAATTGGGCTCAGACATAAAATAGAGTTCTTAACTGAATGACGGTGTGAGATGTCATACAAAATATTTTCAGGCGTTCCTTGGGGAACAAAAGGGAATTTGGTTATATTTTATTGATGTCTAAGCTACATCACTGGATTTTCCATCCAGATAATTTCAGTAGTTTTTTTGTGACGAAGTTACAAACATTAATACAGATCAAACTTTCGCGTTTATAACATTATTATTTTTAACGTTTTTTACTTTCAGATTAAAGACGTCCGAGATCATCGCAAAGAAGACAGAATGGAATCGTTTTTCTTGGCAGAAACGACCAAGTATCTGTACCTATTGTTCGATCCGGATAATTTCATTCACAATCCCGGCGTCCATGGGACTATAATAAACACACCAAATGGCGAATGTATAGTCGATATGGGGGGTTATGTGTTTAACACTGAAGCACACCCCATAGACCCTTCCATGCTGCACTGTTGCCATGAACCAAATCAAGGGTTCGTACAAATTTATCCGTAGTTTTATAGCTAATTCATATTTTTATCATTATTTTTATTATTACAGAATCAATATCAGCGAAATGCACAGAATATATCAATTGTTAGAAGAAGAGGACAACATTAAGTTTATGTCAATGATAGACGCTACGACCGTTTCGAATCGAACAATTCCTGTAACTAAACAAGACACGGAAACGGAAATTACATCAAATACAGAAAATACATCAAATGTATCAATCAAAACAGAGACTAGGACCGGTTATGTCAATTTAGATGGCAGTGAGAGGGAAAAAAGTAAAAATGAATCGCTGGGAAACATACTGAAAGAGCACATAACTAACTTCTATAATAATAGTAAAATTAACGAGAGCGAGAAAACGACAACGGAATATTTGAAGCCAAATAACGAGAATGTTGATGTCGACGACATAATAACACCGCGGACCCAACAAGAAGTTAGCAAAATACAACCTCCGAGTGAAACGAGAGCCAAGGAAGCTTTGAAGCTATTACCGAATGTCATTCAGGATTTCTTGAACAGCGACTGGAAATCTAAATCGAAATGTGAACCGCAACATATGTTGGAGAGAATTAGAAAAGAGAAATTGTATCCAGATCATCCGGATGTTGGAAAATACGAGCTCTTATTGACGCCGGCTCAGTCTTTCCTTCAAAGAATATCGTTAGCCGGCGAATTCCTAAATAAGAAACAATTGGAGCTATGATTTATATAGTTCTTTATAAGTGAAACGAATTAAGAAAGTCTGATTAGTTGTTTTTGAAATAAAAATATAAAGTTAACCGCAATGTCTTAATATTTATTTGAAATATTACATGTTAAATTATAACATATATTTTATATATGTATCTAGAACTTAATATCTAAAACGGTTTTTAACTAGTGATGAGCCATTATTTGTGTATTTTAAGGCCACTGTCACCTCTTTGGTTGAAGTCTCATTTATAGACGTAATAAACCTTCTTAAGATGCAAACTAATTTCAAATTATATTTTATTCCTAGTTATATTTTTAACACCCGAAAAAATCCGTAAAAATCTATAATATTGTTTAAATAACGCCTTCCGAAAGGCTTAACTTTGGGCTAAGTCTACAACCAATAATAAAAATTCTTCTTAATGGACTTCAATGAAGGTTTCAGTGTAATAAGTAATTTCAGAGAATAATAAAATAACTCTGTAATCCTTGAAACCGTTTTAGTGCCTGTAAGTAGCTAGTTGAACTAAAATTATTTTTTATCCAAGTACGGAAAATCTTTCCCGCATTTGGGTAACAATAACTATTTTACTGACATTTAAGCATTCTGTTATCTCAATAGCAAGAAGAACAATTGAGTATTCTGGCGTGAACTGTCATGTCTGACATGGTTTTATACCCATAAATTTTAGTCATGAAATAAAATATTTCTTTTAAAATAAACATGCCCTCTCCTTTTCTCACTGCGATCCTGCCAAGCTATGTAACTGTTGTTCAGAAGGGTGGGTCGTGGGAAGCAGAATGCTTGATAGTTAACACTCTGTCCGCGAAGTATCATGACCGATTTGAAAACTACTGTATCCGAAGAAAATACGCTATCTGCTAAAGGATATAAATTAAATAAATTTATAGGCGAAGGAGCCTATGCCAAGGTAAACGGCACTCGATAAAGTTTACTTAGAAATTTGTGCAACTTTGTTTTTAATCACATCTAGGTTATTATTGACAGGTTTATCTGACAGAATACACAGCAAGGGAAGATTCCAATAAAGTAACACTCGCATGCAAAATTATCGAAACCTCAAAGGCACCGAAAGATTTTGTTCTCAAATTTCTACCTCGTGAAATAGACGTTCTAATTCGTTTAAATCATCCTCATTTAATACACGTGCATAGCATATTTCAAAGAAAAACTAAGTATTACATATTTATGCGGTATAGTGAAAATGGTGATCTCTTAGGTTACGTCCTTAAAAACGGTTGTGTATCGGAGAATCAATCTAGAGTATGGCTTCGACAATTGGCCCTGGGATTGCAATATTTGCATGAGCTGGAAATTACCCATCGAGACATTAAATGTGAAAACGTATTATTAACCGCAAATTTTAACGTAAAATTATCAGACTTTGGGTTTGCAAGGTTTTGTATAGACGAGGAAGACCAGCCGATACTTAGCGAAACTTACTGCGGTTCCATGTCTTATGCAGCACCTGAAATTCTGAGAGGGAAACCATATCTACCAAAGCCGACCGACCTTTGGTCTCTAGGAGTTGTATTATTCGTGATGTTAAACAAGTCTATGCCATTCGACGACACTCGTATGCGTAAATTGTATGAACAGCAAATGGGAAAAAAATATAGATTCAGATCCCGGGTAGCTACTGTGCTTTCTCTAGAATGCAAGGCTCTAGTGAAACATTTACTCGAACCTGACCCCGGATTGCGACATTCCGCTACTCAAATATTAAATTCTGATTGGATTGCTATGGACAGTAGACTTACTAGTAAGTTTTAAATGCTAAATAAATAAAAGTGATTATCTGATCATCCTATACACTGTCATCTATTTTAAGCACTCAATGCAGTAGAAGCAGCAGCACTTCAAAAAGCTAAAGAGGAAAGACAAAAACTATCCGACATTCATAAAGGACCTATAAAACGACAAGGCGATATTTTAGAAAGAGAACATAGAGAATCTGCTTATAGGGTATTTTTAATTTCTCATAGTTCAGTCTTCTATTTGTTCCAAATTTTATACTTTTCTAATTTATTTTTTCACAGCCGAGTGAAATGATAAAATCACTTGCTAATATTACAAAGAAAAAAGAAAATTAAGTAAATGGAAGGCAAAATAAAGGTATTTATTGATTTATTCTTGCTATTGTATTTGCATATTTACAAAATACTATCGAAGAGGTTGGAAAGAAAGAAGATTTTAATCTATTTAATATTTTTACAGCTTAGAATAGAAGATGAATTAAAATTATCTGGCTCGGAACAATTAACACTCGCTACTCGCGGTTACACGATCATTAAAAAAGTAAATGAAGGATCTTACGCAAAGGTAAATACTAAATAGCAAATAGTTTGTAAGTGTTATAAGTCTACCCAATTTTTGATTAATGAATATTTCACAGGTTTACCTGGCGGAATACAAGAATCCCAATAAGAACAGCAAATTATCGACTCTCGCTTGTAAAGTTATTGATACAAATACAGCCCCTAAAGATTTTGTTAAGAAATTTCTACCCCGAGAAATCGACATGTTGATAAAACTTAATCATCCGCATTTAGTACACACTCATAGTATCTTTCAGAGGAGATACAAGTATTTTATATTTATGAGATATATGGAGTGTGGAGATTTACTGGAACATATTTTACATAAAGGGGCAGTTCACGAAGATCAAGCAAGGATCTGGACTAGACAACTTGCTCTAGCCATACAATATATGCACGAATTAGAAATTGCCCACAGGGATATTAAATGCGAAAATGTCCTATTGACTGCCAATCAAAATGCAAAACTATCCGATTTTGGTTTTGCGAGGTTGTGTGTTGATACAAAATTAAGAGATATATCTAGTGATACATTTTGTGGATCGCTGTCTTATACGGCTCCTGAAATTTTACAAGGCACTCCCTACTTGCCAAAGCCTACAGATATTTGGTCTCTCGGCATCGTTTTATACGTTATGTTAAACAGAGCGATGCCATTTGAAGAAAAGCACATTAAACAGCTTTATCAAGCACAAATAAATAAAAACTGGAGATTTCGAACTCGATATGTTGATTCTCTATCGGAAAAATGCAAAAGAATTGTAACCTTAATGTTAGAACCAAATTGTCAGCGCAGAATTAGCATCGATCACATTATAAACAGTGAATGGATTGCTATGGATTCAAGGCTGCTTGGTCTGTACTTTAAATTATTTAAGAATGAATTTACGTTAGAGTAAATACTTATAGATATACTTTAAACGACTATATGATTTTTAGAATGGACTCCTCAAGAAACAATAGCATATAAAAAAGCGCGGGAAGAAAAAAAAATTTTGTTTAAATCACTAGAATCATCTCAAGACACTCCGGAGAAGGAGCGAATACCTAACCCATCCATTAAGCCAACGTGCGACGTTGGCGGCGGTTCCACGTCTTCTTAGTAAGATTCCTGGCAGACAAACTAACTAACTGATTTAAATGTATTATGTAATTTGCTGCAATCATAATTTCGAATAGATATTCGAAAACCTAACATTTTATAGCTGCGATCAAAAACCAGAATGATATAAAAACTATATTCACAAAGCTTTTTATTCAAAATATTTTTTGACGCTGTCAAAACTAAGTACCATTTGTCATATTATTAAAATTATTCAACACAAAATGTAAATTATTGTAGATTATGAATATCATTCAAAAATATCTTTTCGACAGTCGGTAACTCGTCTCATCATGATGCCAACCAAAGTTAAAATTAAATAGTGTGTGACTAGTACGGGTCACTCAAATGTGTCCAACCACTGATAAATTAGAACTCACCACAACTCAGTCGGATATTTTAGTCTTGCAGGAAAAGGGTTTTACACTAGAAAAACTTATTGGAGAAGGTTCATATGCTAAAGTTAGTATTTAAGTAAGTAGTATTTTTCATGTAGGTGTATTGGTTGCAATCCTACAGTGACAACATTTTATAGGTTTTTAAAGCAACCCATATGGTCGACGAAACTCGTCACACCGTGATGGCTTGCAAAGTGATAGACACAGCCCAGGCCCCCCGGGATTATCTTACTAAATTTCTACCGCGCGAACTGGACATTTTGATAAGAATCAACCATCCTCACATAGTACACGTGTCCAATATATTTCAACGTCGAGCTAAATACTTTATATTTCTACGTTTTGCTGAAAACGGTGATTTATTAGACTTCCTTTCCCAAAACGGTGCCGTGCCAGAAAATCAGAGTAGACTGTGGATGCGTCAGATCCTATCCGGCATTCATTATATCCACACAATGAATGTAGCTCACAGGGATCTTAAATGTGAAAATGTCTTAATAACTTCAAACTATAATGTAAAAATAACAGACTTTGGGTTCGCTCGGAATGTTCGGCAAAGAGACCGAGATATACTTAGTGAAACGTATTGCGGTTCACTGTCGTATGCTGCTCCTGAAGTTTTAAAAGGAGTTCCGTATTTACCTAAACTAGCGGATATGTGGTCTATCGGCATCATAATGTACACGATGCTCAACAAAGCCTTGCCATTCAACGAGACTTCTGTTAAGAAACTATACGAAAAACAGGTGAAAGTTTTATATACAATTGTTACAAAAATGGTTTTCTTTGCGAAACTATAAAAATGAATTTTGTGTTTGTAACAGAGCAGATATTATTTAAGAGAAAGAAAATTACGTGACGTTGAATTGAATATTTAGAACGTTCTGACGTCAATTAGTTAAGTCATTTTATAGCAGAATTATCTCAGGGAACATAAGTTCACAAATTATTTCATACATATTTTTCATCGTCTTTTAACATCTTAAGACTAGAATAGTTCATTTTTATTTACGTTACACATTCTCATACTTAAACTGTTATGTGAATACAATAAACTATATAAAATATAGCAGCAAAATCGTAGGTACATCTAATTATTAGGATACCCGATTCGTATGAATTTCTTTCTAGCGTGGTGATATTAAAGAGTTCCATCGATCCATATTATTTTAATGGCAGGTGATGCGCAAGTGGAGGTTCCGTACCAGTGTTGTGAACACGTTGTCTAATGAGTGTAAGGCGCAGGTGATGCAGCTGATGGAGCCCGAGGCGAAGGCGCGTCCCACCGCCAACGCCATCTTCAATGGGCCATGGATAGCTATGGACCCGAGACTCACGAGTGGGTTGCATTAGAAAGCACACCTCATAATTATATTGCACTTTGTAGTATATATAAATTTTATATCATTCAAATTATAAGACAAACGAATAATGCAAATGTTTTCCGTGGTTATAATTTTGATGTTATATGTTTGAAGAAATGACTTTTTTGGAAGAATCGTTGTTGAAACAAGCACAGGATGAATCGTTAAGGAAAGAGAAGGAAAACTATGAGGAAGAGAGTGAGGTGGAGAGGTTGGCAGAACTCCGACGGAAGGGTCGAGGGAAAGGTAATATTAGTTTGATTGTGTAAAATGTTTTGGGAATTAAAACTCTTTGATTTTGAACGCTTTTTGTTTTTCAGAGGGTCTGAAGGTACTCAAGAACACGGATTCAAATTTCGCTAAATCACAACAACTGTTCGACGAAACGACATCGAAATGAAAACACAAAGCATATTGATTCAGTGTTTATTACATTTTATATTTATGATTTTAAGTTATTGTAAAAACTATTTAAATACATTATTGTATAAACAGGTTGTTTTCATATCAGACGGTGAGACGCCGACACAACTTAGAATTAACATTACATATACCTATGGAAGACAAGGGTCCGATTTTGGGTCCGATTTATATTATTGGACCTCTCTAAAGAACTAGACTTTCTGATGAGAAGATTACCCGTACTTTAGAAAGGTCCAACTATTATTGACCTTTCAAGGAGTTATTACAACATTAATATATAGCATTTGGCACAAAGTGGTAGGAAAGGGATATATGGAATATACACTCACATTGTATCTAACAACGTCATATTAAATTTTAAGGAAAACAACAAAGGAAATACAAAAATCAATAATTGGACCATTGGGAATCTTGTACGTTTCTTTCGAATCTTTTTTTAATATATAAAATATTAAAATGTAAAACTTTGTTTTGTGCGATAAGGATTGTGTTATATATTCTTACATATAAATACATTTTTATATACTAACAATGAAAACTCTTACAAAACTCAACGAGCAGCCGTGTACCCTAGGAGCTAGTAACAAATTTATAAGTACCTATCATTACAACAAAGCGGAAGTGAGACAAATACCGTTAGTACGAACTTGCATCGTCAAATTAAATACGGACAGTGTCCCGTTTGATATTTATAAAGACTCACATTCGTTAGTATTAATGAAAAACTATGAAATGTTAGTTTTTATTAGACGACGCGAGCTCGTGGTAGGTCACAGATTAATATTGTCAGTTCTCAGTCATTATTTATATTCTACGTAGTGTTTGAAACGTGGCTATGTTTTTAATTTTATCTACTTGGAATGTTATTAAAAAAATTATGGGAATATCTGAATTTTATTAACTCTGTATTTTGAAGATATTATTTCTTTTATACTGTGACGTATTACTAATAAAATAAATTATTCTTAAAAATCTTAAAGTTATCTAAGAAATTATATTTGGCAGTTGACACTTTAATAATACATTTAATACATTTTGCGAATACTTAGCAACATATAATTGTGTTAGTGACAATTTAATAAATTTTTTTTTCATACATTTGTATCAATATCATTATTTGACATTCAAATCGTTATTTTTATTTAAAAATAAAAGAAAGTCAGGATTAAAAAAGTATGATATTGGCAAGTTTGCGTTAAATAATATATCTACTGAGATATATAACTCATAAATTGTATAGAATGAAAACTTTTGGTTTCATTTTTCATTAAATCTTATTCATTTCTACATGTATACATGTTTTTCTTTCAACATCGCTTAAATATACAAAATATAAAGATATATGTAAGTTATTACATATATAAAAAGAAAATAAAATGCCATACATTTTTTTAAATTAAATCGCTATAATAAAAACAGTATTCAGCAGCTCACGAGACTATACAGGGTGACTGGTGAATTACTATCGATATTTGAGGACGTGATATTTGACGATCATATATGACAAAATAAAAATTAATATAACATAAATATTAATAAACTTCTAAGTAAAGTTAACCAAAAGTTATGTAATTAATTACGCATCGTGTGAACACCCTACAGATTAGGTATACACTGACACTCACACATACGCGTGTCGTGACGTAGTGTTGTATCAGCACGCCGCCGCACGCGTCCACACTTGAACATTTGGAACGTGTCAACACTTTACTTATTTATACGGAAATTTTGTCAAAAATTAAGTGCCTATTTTTTTTACATAATTCGAATGAGAATCATGTACCGAGTATTCTCCTTAAATATTGATAGTAATTCACCAGTCACCCTGTATAACTTAAAATATAATTTAATATTAAAAATAAATTAGCAACCATTACAAGAACGAATACTATATAAGAATATGTATATAAAATATTAAATTAATGATTGTTGATTTGGGATGAACACATTCAGTTCAATGTATCATCTTTAATATTCAACCGTTGTTAAAGTTAACGTCGAGCGATATTAATATCGGCTATAGTCGGATACCTAACTGGCTGGAAAGGATTCACTAGTGGTCGATTAATGTTACCAGCCGACTAGTGTTATCAGCCGGCTAGTGTTACCAGCCGGCTAATGTTACCAGCCGGCTAGTGTTAATAACCGACTAGTCTTAGCCGTCTATCAATATCCGGCTAGTGTTTCGTCACGCTGGAGATAGACACCCGACCCGCCGTCCGGTACTGCTGGCTTGGCTCTCATCGTCTGAATGTATTGACGCAAATTATTATAATTTACAAAGACTGTGAAATAATGTGTGATGCATAGACAAAAGTGTTATATTAAAACATCTTTTACATATATAATATTGTCTAATTCATATTCTTTTTAATAATATTCTAGTTCCAAATATAACGTTGGATTTTTCTAAAGTATGTAATAACTTATAACAAGTTCAAAATTTAAAAAATCTATAATGAAATCGATAAATGTTCATAGAATTAAATATATTTAAACTTAATCTTATAATATACATGTTGCAATACATTAAATGGAATAATTGTAAAATAAAAACATCTTCAAATTATATATGTATGATGAGACCTTATTAAATAAAAAATAATAAAAATCTTATGTAAGATGTCACATTGTCTTTTGTACATTTAATTTAAAGCAAACCAATAGAATATTGCGATAGTTTGAAAACCAACACCCAGTTAAAATTGTTAGGATAGGAGGTAGCGAAACGTGTTCAGTGCGAAAACAGTTAAGTGCATAAAAACCTCGGTTTCCGGGAATCTGTAATTATGCTATCATATTTCATATGGATTTTGTGAATATTTGTACAATATAAAAAATATATATTGGATAAACATCGTAACAATTATGTTAATCGAATCTATTACATATGTAACTATGTATATAAAAATAATAAAATAAAAAATAATTACTTTTAACTTGATAATTAATTATAAAGCCTCAATTTATTCATTCATTTAAGAAAAACAAATTAATACTGAAATTATAAATCTGTTTGACTCTAAGTATTTGTAAACTTATTATTACTATTAATGAAATTTCAACCTAATGGTGGAAATGTCATCATTTTCATAAATAAATAAATAATCTCATCAGTCTCATATATAAATAATCTCATCAATCTCATAGTACAGATGTGCCCGATCCCCAGTGAGTTAGTAAGTGTTAGTGACTCACAGTGTCTTCACCTGAGTCTCTCAGCGGACACACGAGGTCTCCCAGCTCGTCCCTACTCTTCTTCCTCTTCAATGAAAACTGACTCTTCTTTGGCACCTGAGTATATAAGTATTGTTGTTACAACCATCATAAATATATAAATGTATTGATATTTTAGTTTATTAAATCCGTTTCGTTTTAATAATCTTTGAAGTGAAACTTCTTAAGCGACTTCCAACGAAGTTGCGTTAAATGTTTTACGGTGTTGAGGGGAGGGAGAAGATAAAAATAAACAGAGTGAGAAGGATTGCGTGGCGCCCGAACGCATGCCGGCTATCAATTGAGACTTGGAAGTAATGTTAATAGAGATTCTGATAAAGGAACATCAAAAGTTCCTTCAAAATCAATCCCTTCTTGTTTTCATTCCAACTTTACAATGTTTCACTTCTTCCGATCGCAGGTACTCCACCCACAATTTATTCATTTAGAATTGTTGGTAATTAAAATCAAAATACTTCTCATTTCAAACCAAAATGCTCCTAAATTTTCCAATTAATAATTTATACAACGCCATATTTACTTAATATTGGTTTACCTTATACTTGGTAGTGGCTGTGAGCGGTTGGTATCCGAGTGTTTGTTCCGCGTTCCGTTTCTGCTGGATAACATCGCGCCCCAATAGGTCATTGAATCTAATGTTTAAATATATATATAATTAATATTAGTATAATATATATAACGGTAACGTTTCTCGTATAAAGTATATAAAACCTCTGTGTGAGATGTCTTCTCAACAGTGTCTTGTGTGCTGGTATATGTAGCAGGGCGGCCAGTAGCTCCGCCGTGAACCGCGCCTCCAGCAACAACAGACCGCCGTGGACACCTGGATTAATATTATTATTATATAGCTAGAAAAGTTGTTTATATTTTTATAAATTAAGAAATATTTTCTATAGTGCGTTTGATTTAAGCTGAGCTTTGCATTTGTGTGAGCGTACACGGATAGTGTAGGTGTGATGTCGTATTTTTGAATGCCACGTTCTTTTCTAGTTTTGAACCGGTTTATACTGCTTTTACTCCGCCCCGCACCTTCCTCTCTTCACCCTTTGTACTGATGGCAAAATCAAATGTTGAAAACGCAATGTCAAGTGAAGGACAATTTGTATAGATTTAAAAGAAAATTAAAGATTTTTTTTTCCATAATATTCATAATATTTCCATCTGGCCTTTTACAAGTTTTGCTTATTTTAGAGCACTTTTGTTATGTGTCTATTTAAAATATAATAGAATTGAATTCTAAAAGTTTTTTGCCTAAATCTACTTTTACTTTCACCCACACAAATGCAAAGTTCAGGTTAGGTCTAATGGACTATACCTTACTTTATACGGTCGGTGAAAATGTTGCTTATATACCAGTTTTAGAAGAAGTATATACATTAATGTGGACATACATTTGAACAATGAACCATAACTAATAAAAAATTATGTATTCGAACCAAACATATAATATATTTAACAACCTGCTCCTCTCAAGTTGGGTGCGTATTCTGCTAGATCGATCTCGTTGAGCCACTGCATCACTCTATGAGCGGACCAGCGCGCTACATGAGGGACGGGCTTGCCATCGCCCTCAGGCTGGGACTCCGGTCGGGGCTCCACCTCGGGCCCCTCCTGGACGGGCGCTTCGCCCTCGGGAGCCTCAGCAGCCCGACGGATCATTGTATCCGGATCGAAGTTGTTCTCACGAAGTACTTGTATACCTAAATATAGATGTGGAAGTATGTTAAAACTTGTTTTTATACCTTCAAGGAAGTTTGTGATATGTTAGATTGGATTTCACATTAAATTATTTATAGGAACATTATTTAATTATTCAGTAATAGTAAGTGAGTATATATTTTTGTATTTTTTTAATTATCAAGGTAATATATAAGTGGTATTTGTGAGTGTAATAATAAGTATTATAACAAGTATAACAATAATAAATAGTATAATAAGTAGTATAACATAAGCAGTGCGTCGTTACCTCTTCTAATGGCGAGTGCGTGTAGTGCGTGATGTACCCGCAGCTGGTGGTGTAGCTCGCTGTGTGTGAGTCGATGCAGCAGGCGTCCGTCGAGCGCTGCGTCCGCGGCCGCCGCACGCACGGAGCCCGCGCCGATGTCCTCCAGCCAACGTAACGCCCACGAACCGTCCAGCCGACCAGCCAACGACAAGAGAGGGTCACCGTCACCACCCTATACATACAAAGTTTGAACTCACGTCTCAAAAACATTGATTGTTAACAGTTGTTAAAGAGTGAGATGCGTTATAAGTTAATCTTACATATAAAATTCTCGTGTCGCGGTGTTAGACAGAGAACTCCTCCGAAACGGCTGGACCGATTTTGATGAAATTTTGTGAGCATATTGAGCAGGTCTGAGAATCGGCCAACATCTATTTTTCATATCCCTAAGTCATAAGGGTTGTTCAACCTTTTTTTTCGGACGAATTTTTTATTTTTATTTTTTTATAATGTAGCATTAAAAAATACATACAACCCAAAATTGTTACTTTTTATCACCAACCCCTATTTTTTATATGGCAAAACAACGTTTGCCGGGTCAGCTAGTAGAAATATGTTAAATAGATAATTCATAGAAAAGAATAATAAAGAAAACATTTAACGTTTATTTCGTCACTACATGAAACTCAAACCATTATTATTTGTGAAATCTAATATCTACAAATCGATGTTTACCATTAAGTCGGTGATGGCGAGCATTATTTTCTTCTTGTGCATGGGGTGTTTGATGGCCAGCTCCTTTTCTATGGTGGCCGAGGAGGCGTTCGCTAGTCTGCCCTTAGTTGGCGTCTGTGTCTGTGGGGCCTGTGTGGTGGGGGAGGAGGGCGGGTTGTTTGAAGACAGCCACACGCGGGCCGCTGGTACGTAACCTTCCAAGCCTATACTCTCTAACCACCCACAGGTCATATCGCAGTCCCATTCGCGGATATCAGTCGTTTCCCTGAAGACATCAGAGAAATTTTATATGAATAGTATTGAGGTTAGTTGAAGAATCAATGTAAAAATAGACACTGCCCTAACAGCTGTTGGTTTAATATCATTTTTTGTTACTTTTGTACCTCATGATTAATTAGATTTCGTTGAGTTATATTATACATATAAAATTATATAATCTTTGTGTTCTAAATTAAATTACTATGAAAAATATTTAAATCGTAGCGATTTTAGTATAATTACCAACAATTCATTATGTACATTAAGAATCGAACAGCTATGCGAGTGAGCTTTAATAAAATCATTTAACCGACAAAGCCTGAAGAACAGTATTTATGTGAACATTGTAAAGGTAGTATCACACTGACCATAAGGCGGGCGTGTTGTTGATGGAGGCGGGCGGCCTCGCTCGTCTGACGGACCCTCGCTCGTCTCCCTCCAGGCGCACAGTACGTCTCGTGCGCACCTCGCGAAGGGAAGGGGTAGGGCTACCTCGAGAGACCTCCTCCTTCTCAGCTGGAAATATACATACATGCTTAATAATCAATTAATCTAGATAGCACATATTATCTTCGCGTTTATTCATTTAAATGAAACTAATATTTTGAATGATGATACAAGGTTTTTTATTATTATATAAACAACATAGTCTTAACGCTTCGGTTACTTTACAGCAATCGTGATCACGGGCAGACTAGATGAATATATTGACATTAAAAAAACAGTATTAACATCCTATAACTTAGATAACCTGGTATAGGTTAGAATATGGTTGTTGTTAAACGTTACTTAGTTTATTTTAGGAGAAAGCGTTGTTTGATTTCAATTTTTGTAAGCTTACGCCATTTACTTTACTTTAAAATTGCTCGTTTAACAATTCAGTGAATGATTAAAAATATTTTGCTATATTGACTTGTTAGTAATTAATTATAATTTGAGAAAACTATGTACATTAAAATTAATTTGTCTTATTGTGTAAGTCACATTCAACACAAAATTATCTGAAATCACATTTAGAATATTTGTTTTGTTATGATACAGTGGATTTATAGATTTTTTGTGGGAAATAAGAAATTTCATTAATTAATTAATGCTGCAATATAAATCCTCTGCTTCATTTCTTGACAAAGTTTAGAAGAAACGTGTCAAATTAATCAAATCTTACTGGAAATATTAACAAGCGCAAAACAGACAAGACACATTTGTTCTGTAACTTACATAAGAGTAATTGTAGTTTCATAAAACACAAGCAGGAAAATACTTAAAGCTGTTTTATATAAATGTATTTAAGCGTTTTATTCCTCGAAATCTACATTCAGTGTGGACTATAAAATATATTTTTATTTATCAAATAGTCCAAGCAAATTTTAAAAAAAAAGCTGTTTAATGATATATTCATTTCAACCTAATCTTATGGTGGGCAAAAACTAAACAGTGGACAATCTGGCTAGAAGAAGTCTAAGCAGGAGAAACTGAACACAGCCTTAATAAAAGGGTATAAGGCACACTATCCCCGCAAAAACAAGTTGGACAAGAACTATACAAGGCATAATCTGGCTAGGAAGAATTCTAAACAGGAGAAACTAAAAGCAGCTTTGTTAAAAAGGTATAAGGCACATATCCCGGCAAAAATAAGTTGGACAATAACTGTACAAAGCATTATCTGGTTAGGAAGATGTCTAGGCAGGAGTAACTAAAAGCAGCCTTAATAAAAGGCTATAAGGCACATATCCCCCCAAAACCAAGTTGGACAAGAACTGTACAAGGTATAATTTGGTGAGGAAGAATTCTAAGCAGGAGATACTAAAAGCGGCCTTATTAAAAGGCTATAAGGTACATATCCCCGCAAAAATAACTTAGACAATAACTGTACAAAGCATAATCTGGTTAGGAAGATGTCTAGGCAGGAGATACTAAAAGCGGCTCTATTAAAACGCTATAAGGCACATATCCCCGCAAAAATAAGTTGGACAAGAACTGTACAAGGTATAATTTGGTGAGGAAGGATTCTAAGCAGGAGATACTAAAAGCGGCCTTATTAAAAGGCTATAAGGCACATTATCCCCGCAAACCTAAGTTGGGCACGGACTGGCCGCGACCTCGAGCCACCACCATGTTGTTGTGTTTACCGAAGCGCACTTCCGAACTCAGAACCGAGGAGCGTGGCAACGAAGAATACATGTGAGTGTTCCTCTCGATCTGACGCCCGTAGTTAGCTGGTGGTGTCTGGAAATAAAATTGAATTAAAAAAATAAGAGAATAATTATAGATTCATTACATTACATAGACTTAAAATTTATTGTATAATTCTACGTTTACGTTTCAATTGTACCATCACTAAATGTGGAATAATTAAAATAAACGATCCAAAATAAAGAAAAGGCTTTATGGATGTATGTAAATACGACAGTAGCTTTGTGAATCCTATATAATTAACAATAAAATTGACATAAACGAGAATCGAATCTGCGCCATTTGGTATTTCATATCTCGGTGGCTATACTAATTATGCTATCGTGTCTCTTACTAAATTTGACGCATTAAGCATTCTTATGTTTTCGACCACCTTAAAAGTATGAAGATAATGTTTGAAATTTGTTTACTATTTGGATGTCATTTATCAAAAAAATATCGTCATAATATATGACTCATATAAAACTGAAAAATACTTTTAAAATTCACTACATTTTCGAACTTACATCTTTTAAATATAGAATATTCTATTTTCTCGCAACTACCCACATATGCTAAACTAGTAAGAACAAAATTAGTACCAAATTATACTCAATAGCATGTGACTTTTCTAAATGCATCATTAAGAACTGTTTTGTGTCCGCTACTAATGAGCCTCGCTTGTCTGTATCTCACGTTCCATTTCACTATTTCTCCCTTTTTCAGATTTCCAATTGAATAGACGCGAGGGAATGCTCCTTTTACACACTTTTATTTTGTTTCGTAATCGGAAAGGAAATAAGTGAAGACTTAGAATACAAAGCCGTTGGGTTTTATGGTTGACATTGGTATATCAACAAAAACCTTGAAGAAAATCATAAACATTTTATTGAAGAAGTTACACAAGTTTAATAACTGTACGTTACAAAGTGTTTCCATCACATACAAACACAGACAGTTTTTAATAACTTAACTTATAAATGGAACTTGGATCTAGAAACTTTAGCTCTTCCTTCCACCGATTTTAAGCACTTTAACTATTTACATACGGACATTTCACTTAAACAATCATATCAGATGATAATATTATTAGGTTATAGGAGTTCTGAGTTTCGAGTTCCGCGTTCAGCGTTCATTAGAGGCCAGCCTCTATGTGGATTGTTGTTATGGATTCGGCATATTCTAAAGAACGCTGAACTATGAACTCGCAACTCCTGACCGCTCTCTGTGTGTGCGAGCTGTAACAGGTTTTTAGTATTAACTATAGTGAGCCAGGTCATTACCCTCGGCGGCGCAGGTCGTGCTACCGGTGCGGGTTCTGGGGGCGGAGATCGTTCCACCAGCCCTCGCTCAGCCACTCTCAGTCTGACTTCACTCAGTTTCGATAACAACTCCAACTTCTGTGTCTCTAATGACGACCTTTGGAGCATCTCCTGCAATCGTACATTAAGCAGTCATGTAATAAAATACCATAAATATTAATTCAGATATATATTTACGACACAATACACTTTCCCTCATAAAAATCTCCAATATACAGGGTGACTGGTGAATTACTATCGATATTTGAGGACGTGATATTTGACGATCATATATGACAAAATAAAAATTAATGTAACATAAATATTAATAAACTTCTAAGTAAAGTTAACCAAAAGTTATGTAATTAATTACGCATTGTGTGAACACCCTACAGATTAGGTATACACACACACACACACACGCGTTTGGCGGCGTGGTGTTGTATCAGCACGCCGCCGCACGTGTCCACACTTGGAACACTTGGAACGTGTCCACACTTTATTTATTTATATGGAAATTTGGTCAAAAATTAAGTACCTATTTTTTTTACATAATTCGAATGAGAATCATGTACCGAGTATTCTCCTTAAATATTGATAGTAATTCACCAGTCACCCTGTATAAAAATGAGTTACTGTTCGTTAGTTTCACTAAAACTCGAGAACGGCTGAACGGATTTATCTTATCTTAGTCTTGAAATGTTCGTGGGGGTTCAGGGAAGGTTTAAAAGATGAAAAAAATTGAATCATTTCCGGGAAAATCCTAAACACAGCCATTTCTATTTCCCATGCAAACGTTTTTTTTTACATTAGATTTGACAACTAACTAATATGTCAATCATTCTGTCGCACTACAAAACACGGAGATTTATGGCTTATAGGTAAACTACAAAAAAATAAATAAAAATATATATATTAACCGATTGAGGCAGCATGAAGTCTGCCGGTTCAGCTAGTCACTTATAATTGTTAGGTATCGTGTGAATCAAAACTTAAAAAGACGTTTCTACTATGTATTACAAAGTGTAGAACATAAAAATATGTTATAAGTGATATTGAATGAATTCTTCAATATAATATTACAATACATTCCAACGTCACGTATTCAACACCCAGGAATTCACATAGTTGAGGTCGACCTACATTCCTTTGAGAAACAAAACACTATAAAAAATAACAAACGTTTGTAGAACTTTGTTGCATTCATAAGATACAAATTAAATTTCATTCTGATCTTATTTTGACAAAGTACCTATTTATGAATAAAGATCATTTAATACTTAATAAATACAATATATATTATACCTATCAAACGTTTTATAAGAAATGTTCTTTCCGTATTTTTAGATTTCAGAATGTTTTATTCGTAAGTTCAAACAACATTAAATTTTTAAAAGTAGATACTAAATGTAACAGGTGTAACCTTAAACGCTACTGCCATTACTGGCATTATGTTATATTTATCGACGAAGTATTCTTCGGACGTGGATGGATTTTAAGAAAATTATTTATCAATGAAATGCTTTTAACATTTTTGGATCTTATCTAAGAACCAAACAGATGTTAAATTAATTTTATTTTAAAGCTGCATGAATTTATTCTGTAATGTTGTATACATTCAATTTAATATATTAATCTGATATCCAATTTTGTGTGTAGTAAAAGAAATAAATACTGCATCATAATGAGTTTTTTCTTATTAAATCATCAAGAAATGTTAGTAAGACTAAGAATGTAAGGTATTTAAGGAGGCCGGTTCTATTAATCCACCAGACGTATGACTCACCAACAGTTTCAATCACCGGTAGTAGTAAATAGATAATTTGACGCTGCCCAGTTACAAACGTTTTACTTCCAATAAAAATCATGTAACGCGCCTACGAATATTCTAAATCTACTATTTATTTATTCAATGGTTTTATAAATAAAATGATATCGTGTTATAGTAAAAAAAAAACATAAATAAAAAATGTTTTTTAAAACAGATTTGATCTATGTAGATTGTCCCACGAGTAACTCTCATTTAACATAAGATATGCAATGTTATACAATTAAATAGCATTAATATACAGGGTGACTGGTGAATTACTATCGATACTTGAGGACGTGACATTTGACGATCATATATGACGAAATAAAAATTAATATAACATAAATATTAATAAACTTCTAAGTAAAGTTAACCAAAAGTTAGGTAATTAATTACGCATCGTGTGAACACCCTACAGATTAGGTATACACACACACTCACACATACGCGTTTGGCGGCGTGGTGTTGTATCAGCACGCCGCCGCAAGCGTCCACACTTGGAAAACTTGGAACGTGTCAACACTTTATTTATTTATACGGAAATTTTGTCAAAAATTAAGTGCCTATTTTTTTTTACATAATTCGAATGAGAATCATGTACCGAGTATTCTCCTTAAATATTGATAGTAATTCACCAGTCACCCTGTATATACATATAAATTACATACTTTTGAAGACAGAATAATATTTTTAGGTTAATCAACTCTTCTATTGTATTGAACACAATGCTTGTACTTCAATAGAGATTCTGACTTTTGTGGAAAAGGAGATGATGATGACGTGAGCGACACAAGTCTCACTGAAATTATACCCGAAATGAATTTCTACGTATAATTTTTCATTTATAATAACATTCTTGTGTAAAGAAATAGTTCACTATAGAAACTGTAATTCATAACGAATCTAGTTTTTAATTTCTAAGAGATATAAACCATCCATACATTTTAAGTTTTTTCTTGATGTTTAATATAAATCCATAGCAGGAATGATAAAATGATTAAAAAATAGAGTTATATACGAAGCGAGGTACGTATAAATAAAGATGTCTTGTAATATATTATCAAGTAGATAAATTTAAAATGAAATCAAATTTACAATACAATTAAACAGCTTTAATATGACGACTAGAATCAAATTGCTTTGTTTATGTAACTTTTATATTAGACCCAGTTTCAACAATCAATGTTAAATAAGTAACATCTTGTTAAGGCGTTTGATGGTTTGGTAGATGCATCGAGCGTCCCACAACGCACAAATGTCCGTTTAAATGTCTTAACAAGCCACTAATATTAATTGCTGCTCTAGAGCTCCGTCTAATGGCTAACAGAATGTTAATGCATTGTCAAAACTCAATTGTCCAATCACAGTCCTGATTTCTTGTAACCATAGTAACGTCATCTGTTTTGTGAGTGAATTAAAATTTCATTTCCTATGAAGATTTTGCCTCCAGCTTTTCTAAGACATAGCAAATTAAATTTTCCTTTTATCTCTTATAATTTGAACACAATTTATGCCTATATTTATAACACAATAATATATGTACTTATAACACAATTTATTGACAACACGATTTTGACAAGTTACACCTAGTAAATTGAAAAGAAAGCTTTTTGTGTGCCAAATGCATGCAACCAACGATATATAAAATTTGGTCATATTACCTAACAAGTAACGTATCGAGGGATATATACGATGAAAGTATAAAGTAGTGCATCGTGACAAACGTGTCGCGTTAAACGTTATAGTTTCAATTTGGTCGTCTCATAACAAGAATAATTTGGTAGTCATTCATTTAACATGACATTTAATAATACGTTGTTAATTTTTTATCGTGGAACGAAAATAATTTAACAGACATTTATAATTTTAAAGGTTTGTTAGTAAATACCTTGTTTATATTTAACAAACATTGATTGGTGAAACTGGATCTAAAAGGGAAATTCAAAGAATTAATTAAAATTAAAAAAAACTCAAAAGATAAGTAAAAAGATATAAAATAACTTTGTATTATCTTGAAGTTTATCAAACAAATTTAAGCGTTAGAGTATAACTAAGAACTAAAAATGTACTCAGATAAACTAGAACTCTTTCAGTAATGGGCAAACAACCAGGGAGAGTGACCACACAACACTGATAATAATAATTTAAAAGCGCTAAATAATAACGACCCGTTAACCATGATATTGTACATAGTATGTACAATATCATGGTTTGATGTTAAGAGATGTAAGTGTTTCGTCTGTCTGTGGTCACGGTTGCTGTAAAGTAACCGAAACCTCGCGTCGGGAAAATGTAGTGAAAAATAAAAAATCGCGTAATAAATCCGAAAATATTAGTTTCATTTAATTGAGTACTCGCGAAAATCTTAGATCTCATTATACATCACATTTATCGTAATATAAATAATTAATATATAAATATGTGAATGATATGAACGCTATTACTTTAAAACGCGTCACTTAAAAGCACCTGAATGTAGTTTAAAATTGTTTTATTTTAAAACTAAACTCTTTTTTTGTACATACATATTCATAGTCATTTCAGTAATCTATATATATAAAAGAAAGTCGTGTTAGTGACTTTACTTATAACTCAAGAATGGCCGAACCGATTTAGCTGAAAATTGGCAGGGAGGTAGTTTAGAGCCAGGAAATTGCAATAGGATACTTTTTATCCCGTTCGACTGCATTCTCGTGGGACTTGACATGAAACGTCAGTCACTATAAAACGTGGAATAACACAATTGACAGCTATGCAATTGACGTATAATGACAGATATGTAATGACGTATGGATGACAATTAGATATTTGTAAGAAATCTACTATATAAAAATAAAAATATTTAGGTAATGTGTTTGTAGTTTGAACTCTTAAAACCATTTAGTATTTGCGGGATAAATTTAGAAAATCATTGTTTTTCACATGGGCAGTTATATTTTGTACATATGTTCAGGAGTTTGGAAACCATACGCTTTATTTGTGTTAAAGTTAGACCAAAAAACAAAAAATGTGGTTTACAAAGGAGCACTTCAATGAAACGGATAATTTGCGGACACGTATAACGCTTCGATTCGGTATCTACTTTGGATTCACTTTCATTGACTTAGAGAAGTTCAACTAAATAACACTTCATTTTTGTAATCTAAATGAATTCATTACTGTTGTGAAATGAAATAAAAATTTTCCTTTTCAAATATAAAATAAAAAATTCTTCATCTTTTAATCACCAAACGAAATGTTAGGTATATAAAAGCCTTCTGGTGGCGAAACGGAGTTCGCCAGGTTTACTAGTATAGAAATGAAATTTAAAAAAATATATTTGACTGGATACATGTTCTTTTATTCAACGTATAAGTGTTTTTATTTATGGTTTGCAATGTCTTTCAATTATACTACGTAATCTTAAAAGACGGTTGTTATTGTAATATAACAAATAAATTTGTTTAAATTATATTAATAGTTATAATATATGTTAGCGTTGGAAAGCAATAAAAAGATTATATCCAGTCTAATGAGTATTCAAGAACCGTTGCAACTTACAGATGAGTTGAATAAAAAGGTTATATATATGTATAATGTATATAGCATATATATAAATGAATTCCTAATCACTTTTTTTTGTCAACAAACAGTCCTTTTCTATTTAGTTCTCAGTTTAAATACTATAAATACAGTCGCAAGGACTGTAAGTTACATAGGATCCGACAAATTTGCGGTTCTAGAGGTAGACCGATTTGTTCACAGTAAATGGTCCCTTCAGACGGTTCGCAATAAGAATTTACAGTATTTTTGTCATACACAAAAATATAATTGTATGTAAATCATTATGTAGGCTAAGTTTATATTGATACAAAAAAATACTCGATTACTCTAATAATAATTTATACCGAATATTTTGTTATCAAAATATATGTACATATATGTATATATGTATATGTCATTTTTAAACAAAACTATTTGGCTGGAAGCTACATAGAAGGTTACTGCTTGTTATAGACCAGTGTCGATAGCTTTGAAAACATAATTAAATTATAGTAGGATGAAACCCATTAGAGAAGGAAGGAAATATTAACTTACGGGCGATCAGAGGTCGGTAAGAGTATTTAAGGGTAAAAAAATGGGTTTTCTTGATTTCTGGCATAACTAAAAGTCCCACGGAAAAAAGTTTTATTGGAAAGTTGTAGGTAATTAAAAGATCTAAAACATATGTATTTTCATATTTTTCACATAACCTCAAAATTTATGTGAAAAATTCAAAAAATCCATTTTTTGTTACAAAATTTGGTGACAAAAAACAATATTTTGTCACGAAATTTGGTGAAAACTTACCTTTTTATTTCCTAAATACACTGTAATTTATTTGATTAGAAATATTTATTTTTTCAGATTATTTTGAATAAATATCGAAAAATCAGCCTCATTTTCATTCGAAAAATCACCCGTCAAAATATCAGCTTTCTTCAAAAAGTTGAAATGTTTGCTGTTTGTTGAAATCTCTATTTTCCGATGGTGAAAAAAAAAAAGTTTCTTACTTGCAGTACCATTTTTGGATAAAAGAATCATATCCCTTTTAATGAAATGACACTTGATATTGTTTGGAAAATGCTCTTTCAAATTATTTTTAATCGTTGTGTACTCTGGAAGTTCTCCAGATAGTCAATCGTTTAGGTAATTTACAGAAAATTGACTTTAAGCTGCTAAAACTATTAAAAATAAACTTGGTTTTATGAATTTTTCACATTAATTTTGAGGTTATGGGAAAAATATGTAATAACAAAAGTAATCTTTTTATTATCTACAACTTTCCAATATAACTTTTTTCCGTAGGACTTTAAGTTTTGCCAGAAATCGAGAAAACCCATTTTTACCCTTAACTACCCACCCCATACCCATTTCAACGTCCGACCGGCCGTAAATTATTTTTGCTTTAATTTTTATAATATTCCCCTCCTTTTCTAATGGGTTTCATTCTACTATTATTATTTTTTTCACTTTTCATTAATTTTAAAGGCTTAATTTTAATTAATTAATTCTACCCTGGCCTTTTATAGTTATCAAATGAATTAAGATGCATAGTGTATTTTATTCAAAGAATTGTGATTCTATATTCATTTGTTTCGGTTTAAGTTTGTACTTATAAGTTATATCTGACAGAAGGAAAAAAAAAGTTGAAAAAATAGAAAATACATATAACATGTTATAAATGAATGAATGAAACCATTGTATGGTGATAATCAACAGGTTGAAATGAAATGCGAGTTTTGTATTTTGTGGATTACCTTTTGCAACCTCTGTTCCGTGTCATCAAGTCTCTGTCTAGTGTCGGTGAGTGTTCTCTCGAGGTCGGACATCTTCTCCGTCTGTGCTGCGATCTGTTCTGACAGCACCTGCACCTGCAGATGGAGACTCTCCTTGTCAGCCTCCAGGCGCCGCACTCTGTCTTCAGCATCGTTCTGTAAAGACATATATGATCACCTTCTTTAAGATCAACAGTATTTTGTCTTATATAGGAGAAGGTTTATGGTAAGTAACCATGGTTAAAAATGAAAAAAATAACACATTAAAAAAACACGTTTAGTTAACGGGTACAGTAATTTTCAAAACCTCATTTTTACCTTTATACTGTAGGAACAAATCATGATTTAAATTTTTGTACTAAACCCGAATATATCATAAATTTATTATTCGTTAACTCGATTTACAACGAGCATTTAAATAATAATTTAGTACAAAACCTGTTAATTACGACGTTTTATCATTAACATTAAACTAATAAGTTAGATGACAATACATGATGCATTATTATTCAAATTCCTTGAATTCCTTGAATTATTCAAAAGCACTTTAGATTAGCGTAACAATATCAGTAATCCCTTGTATGGAAATACCTTGTGTGTACGAGAGGGCAAAGAGGGATGTGATGGCCAGGTGCGTTCGTGCATACAGCAGGGAGGGGTCGGAGGGTGGCACCAACACATGGGCGGCCACCATCCACCGTCCGGCCAACGGAAATGTTCATAGGAATTCCAACGCCGTTGCAAATCAGGTGGAGTGTCCTCGTTTCTTGATATGCGACCTGGCCGTGGAGAAGCACGCACGCTAGATGGATGCTGCGGCGGCTTGGCTGATAAGGATGACCTTGTCTTTCTGTCACGGTCACTACGGTCGCTGGATCTGCGACGACGTCTATCGAGACTCACATTCGATGAGTACTCGTCGACGCGCGAGGACATCAATGGCACTTCAGCCGCACTCATAATATCTACGCTCGGCATCCATTTGAAATCATTGTCGCAGCGTGTTGTATCATCAACACGTCTATTTGGCGTCAATGTACGGAAATCACAATCGCCAGCGCCGGTTTCATACTCGTGCTCGTCCGAATCTTCTTCAGTCGTTGAACTATCGGAGTCCGACGATTCCGCCCTCGCCGGTATACCTCGGGGATCCTTCCAACCCGAACATTTTACTGTTGTTTCATCAGCACTATCCGAATCACCGCCTGTCACGATACATAAATTGAATATCACCTTAGTATAACAGCTTCATGAACGACGTGACCTTCTAACATACCCATTGGTGAGTACATGTAGGAGCGCACAGCTGGGTGGACGTATCCCACCGCCGTACGCTCCTCGCCCTCATCAAAGGGTTCCGTAAGATACTCCCGGTCGGACATGAAGCTTCTTTTAAATGACACTGCGCGACAAACTCTAAGTGCGAGTCACCGATTTGTCTCTATTTTAAAGTTTGGCCACGTTCCAGTGTTATAATACGTCAGTGTTTCGTTCATATTGTGACGTTACGTACTTTCACGTCGGTGGTGATCCTCGCTGGACTGAACGGATGCGGAGTCCCTTTCCGATGCTTCCGAGGCCGTTGATAGAGGTCGCTCGCTCACTCCCGAAATACGGCGATTACAAAAATCTTCTACATGGTCTTCTCTTATAGTTTGAGAGACGTTTCTTTCCTCTCCGGTGGTCGGTCTCGTATTGATCGATCTTGATTTACCATCAGCAGATCGGTTGTGTAACGCGGCTATAGTGGCTGCTACAAGTGAGCCCCCGCGGCCGAGCTCGCGCATGTTTTCGTTCAAAATGAACAACGCTTAAACGAAAACGGGCATCGTTCGTGCCCGGAAATAGATCTCGGTGCGTGTTTGATGCATTTTGAACACCCTCCGCGCTTTGATCCCTTTTTTTTATTAGAGAAAACGTTAATATTTAGTCACGTATTGAAATAAACACACACATTTTAGATTAGAAATTAGAATTACGGGCTATGTTAAAACAACTGGTAAAGACAACGTTTAATCACCAACAAACATTATAACTGCGTATGCGTAGACATAGTTAGAGAGTGCGCATCAAGACGCTACAGTACGCACTCACCGGCACATAATTTACTCCCTCGTACAACGAACGGCGTCCCCGCCCAGTACTATCTTCATCTTCATAACGCATCACTAAATATTGTATATAACAAAAGCTGCGAGATGTCCCGCAACTATTATCACTTTCAAAATTTCCAGGGATAAATTCAGGATTGTATGGAGGTTGTGTCGGATAGTAGGCACCATAATCCTCTGTATATGTACGTCTTCGACTACGGGGCGTTAAGCAGTTCATATTTTTCTAACTTTATCTGTATCGAAAAACCAATTATATTTATGTTAAAATTTTTCTTACGACGCATAAAACTGACTCTATTTACGAGCCCATTAAAAAAATAGGTTAAAGTGTTAAAACTCTATTTGTTTACATAAGCATTTGGTGGAAAAGTTAAATAGTCAGCAGTGTTGTAACATTTTGTTTGTATAATATATTTTTATGTACAGTCAGAGAGGAATGAGAAATATATCCCCTTATTTCGGAAATAGAATGACAGCTGTCCCGTCGGTATATTCGATAAATGTGATATTATTTTTAACTTTACGATCACGTAACTCGACGTTTTAGAGGTGGTAGAGCCTAGCTGTGGTGAGTTACTACAGCTCGAACATGGGCTGGCTCGACCGGGGAAGTACCACCCTCTCACAGAAGATCGGCGTGAAGTAGCCTTTACTGGCTGCGTTTCGTCTGATGAGTGAGAGAGCCGGTTGCCCTTTCCCTATTCCTACCCTTTCCTTTCATTTCCTTATTCCCACCCCTCCCTATCCCCAAAAAACAAGGTTGGCAATGCATCCGCAACAAAATGTTGCGGATGTCCATGGGCGACGGTATCCACCTTCCATCAAGTGGGCCGTCTGCTCGTTTGCCACCTTTAACATAAAAAAAAAAAAAAAAAAAAAAAAAAAAAAACACGTGTTTCTTTCAACAGGACCAAATGATTCTGATAACGTAAAAAAATATCCAATTTCTACTATCTATCTATACTAGGGAAACCTAGCGAAAAATATAAAATATTATACTAATTATAATGTTTGATATCCATATCTTCACTTGTATCTAATACACACTACAATAAAAACTAAGATATTAATTTCATTAAATTTGCATGAAGCGAGTGTATGTGACATGCAAAATATTAAATCTCTGATAAACAATGTGAAATCAGTTGAATTGTCATTGACTTGGAAAGTAAAACTAGGAATCCGTGCACGATCGACGTCGAATAATGAATAATAATTAATACACACCTCTTAACAAATGATTGTATGAATGAATGTGAAATGAATGTGAATTTAATGTATGTCGAATGTATAGAGATTTTACGGGTGGAAATAGGTTACTTGTTTTTCAATTTAAACATAATCGTACTTCATATAAAAGACAATAAAAACAAAATTAAATTCTTGTATAAGAACACCCGAAAAGGGTTTTATATGAATACAAAGAAAATAACAGTAAAGACAATAAATACATTTTTAATATTTAAAAATATGTACACTTCCAAGTTTTTTTTCTTGTAAATGTTTTAATTTTGCAATATTGTAAAACACATAATACAGATGAAAACCGATCTACGATGATGGAAAAAAATTATTAAAAAAAGGAATCATATAAAAATTAAACCAATTTGTAACAAATTGGTTACAAATTAAGTAACTGAAAAAATATTGAGTCTTATTAGAATTTGAGTATTCCGTAATTACACTTAAATCGAGATGTTGGTCCAAATGGAGACTGGAGTGTTGATCGACCCGATCCGAGGCACGACTCGACGTTTAAATTGAATGGAAGCTTTGAAGCTGTTATATCGAAAATTTACTTTGTTTAAAATAATTTAGACAAGCCCATTTATCAGAACGGGCTTCGGAAAACCATTAATTTAATATGGCTGTTCTTAGAAATTGTTAAGCTTTGAAAAATTTACAAAGAAATACCTAGCTTACACTTTGACACTTCTAGTAGATCTCCTTTATGTATTTGGTTAATTCGAAGTTCGAACAAATTATTTTGCCGGTCCTGATAAAACGACTTTTTATGAGCTTATTATATTTTATATCCTATTGTTATAACTTATAAAACATCCCTTTCTGGTCTCATATATTTTCTTTGATAAAGAATATTTCTGTACTAATTTACGTACCTATAGTGCGTTTGATTTAAGCTGAGCTTTGCATTCGTGTGATTGCACACGGATAGTGTAGGTGTGATGTCAAATTTTTGAATGAAACGTTCTTTTCTAGTTTTGAGCCGGTTTATTCTGCTTTTACTCCGCCCCGGACCTTCCTCACTTCACCCTTTGTACTGGTAGCAAAATCAAATGTTGAAAACGCAATGTCAAGTGAAGAAAAATTTGTACAGTTTTTTCAAAATTTTTATTAATTAATAATTTCTTTTCCATAATATTAATAATATTTCCATCTAGCCTTTTCCAAGTTTTGCTCATTTTATTTTTAATCTAGAATAGCTCCTAGCACTTATGTTATGCATCTATTTAAAATATAATAATATTTTATTGTAAAAGTTTTTTTGTCTAACTCTACTTTTACTTTCACTCACACAAAATACAAATTTTTATGTAAATCGTATTAAGATGTGAAATGTGAATATAGAAACCATTCAAAACCTGCTTTAAAACTTTCGTTAATATTTGACCTTTGACGTCATAAATTGACCTTAATATCAATAAATATGTTATTATTACGATAAAGATTATTTTCATTTTGTTAGATTAAATTGTTAATATTCTGAAATCACACTTCTTTTGTAAGAAAATTTTAACACCCACCTCAATTTCTTCGTTACAAACTGCACCAAATCTCGTTAAAAGTATAAAACATATCCAGACTGTTTACCAAGTTCTGCTCAGTTAAGTACTTCGTAGAAAACTTGTCTCACATTCGTAAAGAAACACAAAAGAAATTTTACTCTGAACTTGACAGCGACTGACTCTTACAGTGTGCAAAAACTTGCTAGACGTTATATTTATTACACTTTTTTTATGCTCGTACAAGGCGATCAATACGGCCTACTTACAAGAACATTACTTAATGTTCGCTATTTAAACTCGACCTAAACTTTTTATTCTAGCTTTTAAAACGTACAGACTGTGAGGACGATGGCCAGTTTATGTCTAATGAATTCTGTCACACTGAACATCAATGCGACAACGAAAAATTGGTCACACAACTATAAACTCGCCACTAGCAACTATTTGATGAACACCTGGATTTAATAAATTATCCCCTGAGACCAATCCCACAATTTATTTACATTCTTCTAGTAGCGCTGTCATCAAAGTCGTTTTGTTTTGTAAATAAAAATAAAAATGTGCTTTCAAATGTGGCAGATTGTTTAGACACAAAAAATATATATATAAAAGAAACATTTGGTATCAACATTTCCAAATATAACTTAAAAGGTCAACAGATATTCCTATTCAGCGAAATTTTACTCATTCGATACGAACTCCGAGTTATACTTTTGAACACTGAATCTTTTCGTAACAAAGGTGCTTTTTAATCATCGCAACAGAAGGACTTCAACAAAAGATGTTTACGAAACAAAATACAATGAAATATAAGTCGTCCTAACCGAAACGTGCAACTCTATCAAGATTACATCCCGTGCATAGCTACATCGGTCGACACCCTTTAAAGCCAGTGGGCGGTAAATTGATGGAATCTATTAATAAATTTTACCGCCCACCATAATAAACCAATGTTCTATTTAATTATTGCGTGTTGAAATTGATAGAACAGTGTTTATAAAGGTATTACGCATACTTTATTTTTGCTTTCCGGGATTTCAAAAGCAGAGAATTCTTATCTAGCCTGAAACAAAGTGGAGTTGAGTATCAGCTGGCAAAGTTCCCGATAGATAAGCGTAGCAATTAGACGTTTTAAGCTCCCCAGAGCAGAATGATTTTCTTAATCGTACTGTTATTCATAATATAACGTCATAAAATAATCACATATCACTTAGTACTTATTTTATATATACCCACAGTACAAAATAAATCACAAAAAAGAGAAATCTCAAGTCCTTATGTCTTTGTCCATTACACGTAGTTTCACGACGTCTAGGAAGCTTAAACAGACTTCGAACATTATTTTTATATAAAATATACTTTGGGTTATAAGAAATAGCGTAGATTTTCTTTAAATTGTCTTATTTTATACTTTAGGTTTTCGTTTAGGTACTAATGAATAGTTAGAAAACGCATGATTATAAAGAAGAGAATATTCTTTAGGTTTTATGATACCAATTTAAATTTAAGCAGTGTTAACCAACCAAACTTCCACAACGTACCCTTAGACTGTGAAGGGCTCGTTGCTGACTTGGCAGACTGAATTTTAAATTACTTTGGAATACGCTGATGCGAATAGTAAACAGCAACGAACTTTAGTACGAGTTTTTCAACCTTACTTATGGACCTACGGTATCAAGGTTTTACATTCAATATTAAAACGTAATAATATATTGTTTGCCGATATAGATATGTAAGGATAAATAGATGTATGAATGTAGATAATTTTTTCAAGCTTTAAATATAATTTTAAAGAATATAAGTTATTTTTTACTTTATACAAATATCAAGAAACTTTTATAATTATGAGGATATTGTTCAATAGCATAATACTCATGGATTTTCAGGCGAATTCGGAGGAACCGATCAATCTAGATTATGCATCAA